ACGTCCGAAGAATACGTCAAAACAAAGGTCTGGGGGAATGCAATGTCCTTGGCAACGGCTTAACTTGTTACTATTTGTATGCCATTAAACAAATCATACAAGGTCTAGAGGGGAAATTGCACTTGGATATACAATTCATGCATGCAGAAGGATTCCCATTACAAATAAATTTGTAACAAAGTAACTACGAAACTATTTTCTTCTATTTCTGGGGGATCTGTGAATACCTGCACCTGGCCTTAAATTGATCACGTAGAAAACTTTACCAACACGACAGGAAAAACATAGAACTGGAAAATCTAAAAGGATACTACTTACTTTGTAAATCTGCATTAGTCCGCGCTGAACAAAGTGAAAGGATTTCATATTTCAACAAAAAGCAGGAAATGAGAGGGTTTTGTACAACGACTGCAAAGTAATATAACAGGTGTTCAAAAGATCTAGACACTGGTTTTGGCATATAATAGCATTACAGACAGTAGTTACATGTAGACCTTCTCTGATTTGGGGTTGATTCGGTCAATGGCATGCTTTGTACATTCAAATACATGAACATGTATAACTCTTTGATATCATCCGTTAGTTCTAGGAATCTAGCAGGATTAGAGTTTCTTTGACTATCAAATGTGTACTGTGTAAATGTTTAGTGGGCACCAGAAAATTACAGTTTTTCCCCCAATCCCAACCATATACGCATGATGGTCCATCATGCCAAGAAAACTTATAATGACTGAAAATTTATACAGTATTTAAGTCAAACAGAAACTCTTATCATTCATCCCAAACTAAAGGAAAACATAGCAAGTAAAGGCAGTGGTCGAAATACTTTTTTTCAGTACTCTGCAATATTGCAGAAGAGTCAAAATTTTGTTCTGCAATTTGGAAATACTTTCTGCAAATACACAAGCCTCCATATTACAACCTTTCTGCAAATACACAAGCCTCCATACTACAACCTTCTCAAAACAGTAATTCCTTTTTACATCATATATAGCTTTGTAAATCTGTACAGTAGCATTACTAGACTGCAGGAGAATTTCAGGTTTATAAGCATGAACTATGGATTGATATGCAAATTAGTGAAGACAATTTTTTGGAAGTCCAAAAGGAAACAAAAGTTAGACAAGTCAAGACAAGGATGATGCAAATTAGTGAAGAAGCTTCTGTTGTTTCAGAACAGTCTGTCCCTGGGGCCTGGAAGTTTTAGTTTGCTAAATTGAAAGCTAATGAATCTGGAGCCTATTTTTCCTTCTGCAAAATTGCAGATTGTATAATTTTTTCTTCTGCAATCTTGAAAATCTATCTGCAGATTGCAGACTGCAGGCAGGTATTTCGAACACTGAAAGGGCATATTGAACATGACTCTTTCAACAACAACAAAATAGGGAATTCTCATAAATACCACTGTCTACCTGCTGTGCTTTATTACATCACTTCCTGTTCTAACAATAGGTGTATTTCCCTTGGTAATCATGTGTATTGTCTGATGCTCGACAATTCACACATATCCTAGACACTGACTCATATGTGTAATGGTAACAGCTGCTTGTGGTATAATAAAAATGTTTTGTTTTTTTTTAAATCATATCATCTGTGTAAGCCAACCCTGAAAACTAAAGGAACGTTTGTCCTTCATGAAAAGTAAACTGTGGTTTCAGCAAAAACATGTTTGTACTCCTTGAGATGAATTGTTGTTATGTAAGTCTGCCAGAAAGACTGTAAAACATTGCTGGACTTTGACCAGACATAGCTGAGGTAAATGACCACCCATTGTTTAAAACCTACCTTCAAAGTTCAATGTGCCATGGTATTACATAAATGATTTTTCACTAACTATAGCCAGAAACATGTCTACAAGATCTTAATAATACTATTAGACTATTTCTATTTCAGTTTGTCGTTCTTTCTTTGTGTGAATACAAATTAAATGTACATGTAGTCCTGGTTTAACTAAAATGTCAAGAGCAGTTGAGTTGTTGCTGATCTGACCATTATTAAGATATGATGCAATAACTAATATCTCGACCTCAATTTTTGACCCTGGGCATGTTTTGTGTACATATAATATTAAATGGAGTGACTGTTTACAGCATTCAACAGTAACTCGAAGTACAAATTTTAACATGATGGGAATGGTTTCAACATTTTCCCAATCCCTAGTACTAACTCTACTGGATTTTTTCTGGAACAGTCATAATCTATCTACATGTGGGATATTAACCAGGAGGTTTTCTGTTTTTTCCATGGGCCTTCCAAGTATCCATGCAAATGAAGGTACTATAGCTTTTGGCCAGACTTTTGGTGTGGTTTGAGTTAACCATGCCAAAAAAATTATAACCACCTGGCAACTGTTCCTGAGCAAAATCAATAGAAATCAAATTATGGAAACGCAAAAACATGGCCTAGAATATATTCGAGTTCACAGGTGGATTTTTGAGTTGTGGCCTTCCCCTTTATAACAGCTTTGTCAGGAAAGCCGACATTACCGAACCGGCTTTACAACGCCCACTTCTTACACAGCAAGGGATTCGCTCATACTGTTAGTTTCATAACCCGATTAAATTCAATAAGAGACAAAAACATGAAAATGGAAATCGCTATGCACAAAAATGACAGTACTTGGGGTGTTTTGGGAGGGGTAGCCCACAACAAAAAGCGCCCCCCTCCCCCTTACAGGGCCAAAAAATGAAAGCCGGGAGTTTTGAGATATGAAAATATGAAATAATTTCAGTCGGTATTCTACTCGTTATGGCTATCAAAATGGACTACGTGCACGGAAACAGCTACAACAGTTTTCGTTTGGCCGGGATGATACGTTATATTTTTATCCCCCCGAATAGTAGTACCCCTTAGTGACCGACCGGCACCGGTTGACAAACATACGGAAACAAATGCGACAAAACCGAGACTCGGTCAAAGTTAGCGTTTCAATACAGAGGCCTATCTTCAAAATACACAATAAAGATATCTTCGGTGGCGAGAAGTTAAACCATAAACAGGGTAATTGCTAACATGGCTTTTATCGCGCACCTCAACATACGTAATTTCCTCTGCTACAAAAATGGCGAAGAGATTTGGATACCGGTATCAGACCTACCTTCCAAAAGCCGGGCTATGATGCTATCGATGTTGAGTTGGTCTGTACTTGCCATCGAAGTTCAACGTTTGTCTTCTTATCTTTCTATTTTTGATGATAAATCCTTTCTTTTTCGCCCTTTAAGGGAGGATGCCGACGGATTCAATCCAATGGTCAGCCGGGTCAATTCAAATTACAAATGGCGGCCGTTAGGATGGCGGAGGGGCACAAAACAGGACAAGGCGGTGTTGAAAGGCGTGCGTGATGTAACTAGGCTCAAAGATGACCAAATATCGCTGATAAATACATCAAATACAGAAATTCTGATTACTAACTTGCAATTAGCTTTGTTAAACTACCGACTAGATGAACTTAGGACAAAAAAACTCTTTCTTTACCAAGGAATTGCTGTGAACTACTTTTCCTCTGGAAGTGAAAAGGTAATAGGGGTTACCTCTCACCTTTGACCTGGCTTTAGTGACCTTTGTACTCTCAGCTGGAACCTGGAACTTGCACGTCCACTTCTCCAAACTTTTATCTTTCATCAAAGCGATTTTAAAAGGATCAAAAACTCGTTTTAACTTTTGTATGTTGAGAACGAAAAAATTCTTCTTCGTCGTTCAGTAAATGTCTTAATAAAATAAGGAGAAAATGCTGTCACAGGATCAGAGAGAGGACTTGCAAGCAGAAGATGAACTTTTGCCCGACTTTCTTCCAGGCCCTTTGGACATCTACAGGAAGAAAGCATCCTTCAACTGGAAGGAGATGAAGGTGTTTCTGGAAGGAGAAGATATGGTCAAGTTTAAGGTGTCAAAGCTATATAATAATATATAACGATACTATTACACAAATGGCATTATGACTAACTTTTGGAACAAGGTACAAGGTACACCAGTGTGGTACATTACACAATGTAGTTTGGAAAATTATGAAACTCCTGTATCTCTATATCACTGCTATGGGACCGGTGAGGTGAGGTGATATCTTTAGTGTCCACCCACCACACTCATGGAAAAGAGTAGAAGTGACCTTCGTGGTGTGAATAGTTCAAACCTTCAATGCAGTCTGGTCTCCGGGTTGACATTTTGAAAACGTGATAGTCACCTGTACTAGTGTTATGTCAATCCTTCGGTTCCACAAATGTGGTAAATCTCAATAAATAGATAAATAAAGTCAATGGAATTATTCTGAAGTTTTCTTTTCCAGAAATATGTTTGGACAAAGCTGGAGGAAGATCCCGCCTTCGCCCACCCTTCCGAAGACTTGACCTTGGACCAGCAGCGTGAGCTGACCTTCCGGCGCCACAAGCGGTTCCTGGAGTACGACTTCCTGCACGACGAGGACGTGATGGAGAACCCGATGAAGGGGATCGTCATCGGCGACTGTATCGGGATGTACGATTGGTCGCTGTCTGCTAAATACTCCTTAAACAAGCAGGTAGACTCGTGTTAGGTTTTATAAATGATCAGTGACTAAGAATGATGTTTCAATCTGAAAGAAATCATTCTTGTTTGTGTTCTGCTGTCTTGTGCAGCTACCAGTACATAAAGTGGCATGCAATTCTGGTAAGGCCACACTGCACTGACTTGACTTTATGAATAAAATCGTCACAACAATCCCTAACTGATGCAGATATGCAAGAAAGAAAAAAAAAAATTCAAAAATGGAATGCACAAAAATTTAGAATTATACAGAAGCCCACAACAAAATTTTAACATACACACACAGATATTGTATATTTGAAAAACGTCTGATTGAGCAGTGTTGTCTTCTTCAAATTGCAAATTCTGCATATGAAGAGAGCACCCTGACTGCACCATCTGTCAAGTATGTATGTACTAGTATTTTTGGCTTACATTTATCTAGGTCACAATGACAGTGGCAAGTTTACAACAACTCAAAAATAAACCAATAAATGACTTAAAGATTAAATTATATACATGTAATTATATATAACAGAAGGAGCAACAAATAACTGATATCAATCCCTGGACTGACTGACATGATATTTCCCATCTGGCAAAGCCCCTGCTGCTTTTAAACATCTAATATATGGGTATGAAGACTGCTGGCATCAGCTAAGGTTTCCCCAAATGTACATGAACAACAACTCTCACATGCACCAGCACAGGACCAGTAGTTTGTCCCTGACCCAGAATTTTCAGACTAAAAGGACACAAATCATGTATATGATAACACTACCAGACATCATGTCTATACATGATGATAAATCACGTTTCTAAAAGTGGGCCAAGGATCCTCTGGCACACATGCACAGACAGCCACCTTGCTTGTGACACTATGGGAAAGATGTTCTATTCAGTTTTGTTTAATGTAGTGTCATATAGTGTATCATAGCATGAGCTCTACTGATCATTTTGGAGCAAGTTAAGTTGTTATAGTAGATGGGTGTTCAATATTTGCTTTTAGAGAAAATTGATGCATGAGTGTTATTCCGTATGTGCAAACCAGGTCAGGGTCTCATGATTGATTCACATGCCTTGGCAACGTGACAGTGCCTTAAAAATCAATCAAGATTCACCTTATGAAGCGCCAGACACTGGTAGATTAATTAGCATCAAGATTATATATAGGACATGGATGGCTTTGCCTATGTAGTGAAAGACACGTGGAGTTACATGTGCAGTCAAACCAGAACAAATCACCACATACCTCTACAAAAGGACCACCTGGCCAATTTTTGGTCCCTTAGAATATGAAAGAATTTGAATATGGGATATTGAATATTCCCCATGTTGTAATGACAATGATCAAAATTTTAATCTTTTACCTGTCTTTTCCCCCTTAAGATGTTCAACACCACCATCAAGGCTTCTGGTTCTAAGAGACATGAGGAGGTGGCCAACAAGTCTGTGAATACTGAGGTTTGTTTGATTTTTACGTTTACCTTCGCAGAAGGTGAACATTGTTTTTGCTCTGTTTCTTCTTCTTCTCCAAATACCGGCACATTAGCCCAATGACCAGGATCAGCCGTCTGTCACCATGGTAACTGGTGCTGTAGCGGGCACCCTGTGGTATGTGACATTATGTAGCAAGTTGCAGTAGAATTTGCATTGGAGGGTTACCATGTAAACTGCAAAAATAAAACCACTGCAAGTATGTATAATAGGATTTACAGTAAATATAATACTTGACACCAGATTTTATTGTCCTATTGTCAAGGTGATGGGATGTTTTTCCCTGACAGAACTAAGTCACGGCACAAACACCAGGGCTATGAGGACCACTGCTACATATGACCCATCAACACAGGTGAGTCAATATCACACCTTTCTTGGAACTACATGAACATGTATTACATTAAACAGTGTCATAAGTAAGGTGTTGGTCATCAAACTTCTAGCTCTAGGCGCCTGACCAGTGGAAGGGCTGCTAGAAGTCAGGCTAGTTACAAGTTCCCTTTGCCCCCCTCCCCAGGGCTTCATCGTCAACACCCCTGATTTTGAAGCCACGAAGTGCTGGATAGGAAACCTGGGGAAGATGGCTACCCACACCGTCCTGTACGCACAGCTCATAACTCCTGATGGCACGAACCACGGGCTCCACTCCTTCGTGGTTCAAGTACGGAACACCAGGACACTGAAAGCCATGCCGGGGGTGATGGTAGGAGATATGGGCAAGAAACTGGGACAAAACGGCTTGGACAATGGGTAAGTTTGTCCATGTATTGTTTTATACATGTACCTTGAAGTACCTTTACTCTAATGCAAAGTCTTTTTAACCTATCAAGTTATGCTGAGTTTGTGATGTTATGATTGGCAAAATGGTGCCTGTAGTCTTTTTCTACATTCATTATATTTTATTATTTTGGCTTCACTTTAGGTTTGTTGCCTTCAACAAAGTGTGGATTCCCAGAGAAAGTCTCCTGAACAGAACTGGTGATGTCACCCTAGACGGGAAGTATGTCACCCCGTACAAGGTAGGAAACTTTCCAAGGTCACCTCAAGGTTGCCGTTAAACATCACCTATTCATGTAAGATGGCCTTCTCGAACACAAGAGATGAACAAGAAAAGAGTGGTCAGGAAAGATGATGTCCATTGACTAAACAAGAAATTCTCCCATTTGTAGGACCCAAACAAGAGGTTTGGTGCATCGCTGGGTGCCCTGTCTGGTGGGAGGGTTGGGATCACCAGCATGGCGGTGTGTAACCTGAAGCTCTGCCTGCCCATCGCTGTACGCTACTCTGCAGCACGCAGACAGTTCGGCCCACCTGGGAGTAAGGAGGAAATTCCTGTACTGGAGTACCAGATGCAGGTGGGTGTGAACATCACAATCTTGTGTACGACTGCCTTTTTGGCAAGACCACAGGGGTGGAACTTTTGATGCACTTATGATCGTGTTGAATACACCATGTGTGCAAAATACTAGTATGGCTCTTTGTGAAGTAACAAGGATGAGATATGAGTGATTTTAAGTCTGGTAATGTGGTCATTGATTATTTCAGCAATGGAGGCTTCTGCCATACGTTGCTGCCACCTATGCCCTGGACCATTTCAGCAGGACCCTGTACATGGACTTCATCCAGCTCAGACTGGGAGTCATGATGAAGGACAAGAGTGAGAGACAGGTCAGCACTTCTATTACTTCACCATTACAAATAACTTTAAAAATATCAGTACTGATAAGCATACTAAGGACTTTACTCCCCCCCTCCCACCAGGATGCCCTTGGCAGAGAGATCCACGCCCTGTCCAGTGCTGGAAAGCCCCTGTCCACCTGGACGGCCAGAGATGCTGTACAGGAGTGTAGAGAGGCCTGCGGAGGGCATGGCTACCTGGCAGGTACATGTTCTACCATCGTTACTTCTGGGTATGGAAGTATTGTTTTGCGTTGCTGAGCTGTGGGTTTGTGTATCTGTTTGTCCAGACAGAGTATGTTGATGGCAAAAGATTGATAGGCAGAATGCAAGGTCAAAGGTCAGACACAGGAAATGGGGTGAACTTGAAGGTCATGAAAACATGAAATACTTCCCAGAAGTCAGAAGTTTTCGATTTCATCTAGTAAAATATATGGTCTTCTTGTTCGTCAGCAGTCATCTCTGCTTACAAGGCACAAGAAGGATTTACCTACTCTGTTTTCCTGTTCAGTGAACCGACTGGGTGACATCAGGAATGACAATGACCCAAACTGCACGTATGAGGGAGACAACAACGTCCTGCTCCAGCAAACCAGCAACTACCTGTTAGGGCTGGTCAGCAAACTGAAAGGTAAAACTGAAGATGATGTTATGCAGATGAATGTCAATCAGGGTTGTATATTAGATAATGTTCTACCTGGATGTATAACCTTCATTGTCGTTCATTTTGTTTTACTTTTCTATCCACTGCTCCTCATTTTCCATGTCATGTTTTGTATTTCTCTATCAGATGGAACAATAAGTTCTCCCCTTCACTCTGTGGATTTCCTGAGTGACTTTCCAGCCATCATCAAGTCAACCTTCCCTGCCTCTTCTATGCAGGACTGTTTGGATCCTAAAGGTATTGGACTGTGTATTATCATTATTGTTGTTTATTGTGTATGAAATTTGTTTGTATGTAATTATATGCTACTGGCAAGGCATTTGACATCACTTTCCTCACTCCACCCAGGTGTAAAATGGGTACCTGACTTTGGTTAGGGAGGTAAAAGAGGTAGAAGGAGAGGGATGGGCTCCGCCTTCCAATACCATGCCCCAGACATGGCATAGGCCGAAAAAGGCTCTGGGACTACTTTTACCATTTATTCATGCATTTATGAAATTCAATTCTCAGTTGCTGTTGATGCCTACAAGTGGCTGACATGTTACCTTCTGGACCAGAGTTTTAAGAAGTTGTCAGGTTTGAAGTCGAAGGGCAAGGATCCATTCTCAGCAAGGAACGACAGTCAGGTGTACTACTGCAGGTCCCTGTCCATAGCCTTCCTGGAGGTAAGAAGTTATGTCTTTTCTCTCAGGGAATGTGTTAATCCTGTTGATGTGTGCATATGTTATATGCTTACAAGGACCAATTATTGTCAGACTTAGAACTGTCTTTTACCATTATAGTGGTTTTTGCATCTCGCTGTCTGGACAGAGTAGGTTGACAGCACTTGGGTGAAGAGAAGATTGACATGCAGAATCTGGCCAAGAGCCAGCAGGAATTAGAGGTCCAACACCTGAGGGTTTCATACTTTCCAAAAGTCTGAAATTTCTTATTTCTTCTTCTTGTCTTACTACTACTGAAATCTTGTAAGGAGGCCTTTGTTTAAATGAATCATAATACTGCCTGCTTTGGCAAGTTGAACAGTTGAAATGTCTTTTCTATTGGCTCTTCCTTCCACAGCACACAGTGGTGGACAGGTTCTACCAGCTGTCCCACGATGAGACCACCCCTGCCAGCCTCAGGCCTGTCTTACAGCAGCTGTGTTGTCTGTACGGTCTGTGGGCACTGGAGAAACACTGTGCCACCCTCTACCAGGGTAGGTACTTAGTTGTTTGTAATAAGAATTGTCAAAAAATTGGAGCCTGTCTCCGTTTCTTTTGTAATCCTCAACTGACATAAGGCGTGATGCCTTTTCAAGTACATGTAGCTTCTAATATTGCAAGTAGCCTGCAACTGAATGAAAATCTTGATTTCTGTCCAGGTGGTTACTTTAAGGAGGCCAAGTCTGTTGCCTGGGTGAGAGATGCCATACTGCACCTCTGTGAGCAGGTAAAACAACTTTTTACTTCTTTTGACATTCAGACTTGCATATTAATTTGCATATTCAAAACATACAGCCATACAATTGATTTGACTACCTCATTTAGAATATGTCCAGAAAGAGTACTTACTGTATATGCTTGCAGCACATTCCTTTGCAATTCTTTTTCAAGATGTACATGATTTTTTTTCAAGATACTAGTATAAGGTGTACTTGGTGCTCCAATGAAGTCATGAAATATGTGACTAACATGAAAAGTCTTTGTATTGCTTCAGCTGAAGAACGATGCTGTCTCACTGGTGGACGTCGTCGCGCCTCCAGACTTTATCCTCAACTCACCTATCGGCCTGTCAGATGGTCAGGTGGGTTATGCTCACAATCTTGTCTCTAATTTTTATTCAAGCAATGTATTAACCCTTATGTTGTGTTCTTTTTATGGATGACACAAGGAATGTATTTCCTTGTATATGTACAAGCTTGTTTGTCAACAAGCATTGTTTGTTTACAGATATACAAGAACCTGTGGACCTCAATGCTGAGTGCTCCCAGGGTCCTGGAGCGCCCATCCTGGTGGAGGGACTTCATGGACAAACCTGTCATCGGGTCAGTCAAGAGCAAGATGTAACATCACCATGTCTGGAGCAGCTAACAGTTCATGGTCATCACAGACTAGCTTGGGTGCCATCTTGGTTCATATGAATATCCTGCCACTGGTTGGTGAGGAGAGATTATGACTAATCTAAAAATGTTAACTATCTGAGAGAGATAACCCTTGATAATGTTTGCAATGCAAATATATATGTTATAGTCATACATTATTCTAATGCTGGTCCAAGCAGTTCAATGGCTTCTTTCTCAAATTTCTCAGGAATAATAATTATGAGGGGGATGAAAAACTATTGTGTGAAAATTAAAGACAACTTGCATCCATATCAGTGCCCCTCTTCCATCTCTTAAAGTAATTCTTAACAATTTTTAAGGAGGAATCTGAGCAAAAATGACTTTGTGATTCAGTTTCAAATGTTCTACCATGTTAACATATGATCAATTGTTCCTATTTCTGTTGTAATGTATTGCTTGTAATAGTGACATTGATGTCAGATATCAATGCAGGAGTGACAACCCCTTGATATGTTGAATATTAATTTATGGAATGTGTCTGAATCTGCTATTTTTGATGTAACCAGGTGTCAATTGATAAGATATTTCACTGCAGTGACAACACACCACTCATTACTACAGTAACTACAAGTTGAAGGCCTCTGAGACATAAACAAATATGCATCTCGACATGTATCAAGTATGGTCTAGGCAAAAACTGTTTAAGTTAGGAGCCTTGGCCTAAACAACACATCACACTGTTGGAACCATGGACCCTCACATTTTGAATATTTGATCAAGTTGTATCACATGCAGACATAGCAATAAACTGGATCAAAATGTGAAGACAAAGACACAGTTTTTCTTGGTGTCGCTGACCAGCACCCTGCCGTCTGGTGTCTGTACTGCAGCTCTCGGCTCCTCCAGGCCCTCGCGGGACGTGGCCACGTGCTTCAACCACCGTCCTTTCTGGTCAAACATCTGCACGCGCCTGTTGCTCCAGTCAGCTATGAGGATGTGGCCGTTTTTGTTGACACACACACCCAGGGGCCCCATGAACTCTCCCTCTCCAGAACCTTCAGCTCCAAACTGGAAGCAAACTCTTGTAAAAAAAACACAAAAAAATGTTATAGCATATTGAATTTCATAACCTTGTTTTCATTAAGTATCATAGATTGCAGATAGGTCCCTGTAATGTTACCAATAGGAGTATCAAAAGTACATACACTGTTTCTTGTATGGCATAAAAGTAAAAATCACACGTTTATTTTAGTCAGCATGGAATGAATTAGCCTGACTAGATGACATGCTTCCAGTAACCCTTCCATTGGTCAAGCCCCTAAAGAGAAGAAGTCCCTAACAGCAAGAGATTGTGAGACATAGGCTATGCAATCAATGTTAAACACAAGGAACAAGATCATCTAGTACTGTCCCTGACTGACAGGTGTCTCTCACCGTCCATCCAGTGAGTACACTTCCACAAAGTGGTCGTGAAACCTGGAGATGACCAGCTGGTCTCCCGCCGCCTTGTTGTATGCCAGACAGCAGAAGTCGGGCACGCTTGTGGAGAAGGATGATAACTCTTGTCCTGCCTCATCAATGATGCTGATCATCCAGTCAAGGGCTAAAAACAGAACAGAAGCTGTATTGTAGCTTGAGTCTGATTTTTGGTCCATAACGTGTGCATGGAATTTTTAGAACATTTTCAACTCAATCGCAGTACATGTAACGTTACTGCTATACTATCGGCTCCATCACTGAAGCGTCGCCAAAAATGTGTCTGATGTAACATGAAACGCGGCTCACCTACGGCGATTTTCCCGTCAGAGATCTCCGCCGCATCCCACGCCTGCTTGGAGCTCAGCTGCAGCTCCACGCGGTGGAGCAGCTTCCCGTCCTCCTGGTAGCGGCACATCACGTCCATGTAGTCCCCCAGCGAACCCGACAGGGGGCGCGCGAACCCCACAAAAACCACCTGTCCTCCCCCGTTCACAAACAGCCCTCCTTCCCCGACTTCGTACTTCTTGCTGTCGGCTAACTTTAGAGGGAAACTTTTGATGGCGAAGCCATTCATGTTCAAGACTTTAACGCTGCCACCACCATCTCTGTCCAAAACAAAGACTCTGTCATCGCTAGTATAGGCGATTTTTAACGGACTGACCAATTGGCCGCTCCCTATAGTTGAGGTGTTCTTTGGTGCTACGTGCGTCCTCGGAGATTTGGGCTCCTTTGCACTTTTGAATCCTGACGAATTTGGAGGCGCCGCTCTAGGTGACGTTCTGGGAAACTGTCTTGGGGAAGCCGCACCCGTACTGGTTGTGATGGGCTTCTCTTCGGCCACAGCTCTCTTCCTAGTTGATACCTTTCCAAGGAGATGGCTCACTTTATCGTTCTTCTGTGGTTCGAAGTTGATGACGGTTGGTGGTGGTAAAGTTGGCTCTTTCACTTCATTTATCAGCTGTGCCAACTTGCTCAACGCTGGGGACGACGCGGCGGCGGCTTCACCTTGCGAGTGACCTGTGATTTGCAGCTGGTCAAGGGCAGCTATTACGTCAGAAAGCCTTGACTCGAGCTCCTTACCACATTCTCCCATCCTTCTCGTTTCTTCGTTATAAATCTCGCGCACCTGGTTTATGAGAGCGACTTTCTCTCTTTCGATGTTGTCCACCAGTCTTGCTGCAGCTGTGGTTATCTGGGTTTCCACATCAACTCTTTGCCTTTCCATCTCCTCTCCCCTTTGGTTCAGGGTTTCTAGATTTCTGGCCATGGCGTCTGCTACTTTCCTTCCCTTGTCCTCCGCGTTCCTTCCCTGTACCACTGCGTCTGTCAGACGGACCATGTTGTGGCCGTTGTGGCGGTCGAGCAGGCACTCCGAGCAGACGAACGTGTCACACATCGTGCAGAAGAACTTGAGTTCTTCGTGACCGTGAACTGTACACCTGTCCGCCATCTTGTGTCCGTACCGTTACGCCGCACGTACAGTAACCGATATTTGTACGTTCTCCTGTGGAATCAGAATATATAGGTTGGCGTTACCAAGACTAGAGACTGCTTACAAAAAGCATCACTTATGCTCAACATCAGACCGAAGTAATCCACATGTTCTTTAAATTAATAATAAAGACGTCGAGATGCGAGTCAGTTCATGGGGAAATCATTGGAGCTTAAATAATTGAAAAAACGGGCTCTAAGCGTTTTAACCTTCTTGAATCATGCAGGCGAACTTGGAATAAAATTCTCCTGAGACTGTGGCTACACCAGAGCAAGCTAACAGATCGACCAAGAAGTGCTAGTCAGAAGACCTTCTCAGTGCCCAGACTTTGGGGCAATGTTTTGGTGGTCCCGGTCTACTTAGCATGTCCCACAATATCGTTCAAACCCAGCGACCAAGCAAAAGAATCGGTAACCGAAAACGCCCTCATTTGACAAGACTGTGTCGTTACAGGCAGCCATTGGACTAATCTGGTAGCAAATTACGAAAGCCGAAGACCCACAGACAGCTTTATCCTTACGCTAAGTACATTTTTCAGGAACAGCTTTTTGTCCCACCTGTTCAGAGGCCGCAATCGGTATCCTGACCAAATTACCTAACGGCTGACGCCTAGCTTTGAGCTGTGTTGTATATTTCAGCGTGCCTTCTCCATAATATACCCCCTTCCCCAAACACCTTGCCACTATGTTCTACAAACTATAGGCCTTCCGCCAATCAGAATTAACGTTACATGTACGTAGTAAAACCACTTACTTTCTAGCTGGTTGGACCTGTCGCCCTAGTTGATCGTTCTGCGTTCACCTTGTCGTAAACAAAGGTAGGATCTGCACACAAAACACGGTGTGTAACACAAACCTCTTCATAGAACACAGGTCTCGCAGGTAATCAAATACTAGTATGAGCCCCCCCCCCTCTATGCACACACAGTGATTGACAAGTACTGTAAAACGCTATAATTTAGCCCTTGCTTAGACCTATAATTTGCTGGGGCTAAATGTTTGCGATGTTTTGGAGTGGCAGCACGCAAGCTGACAGGACTAGATATTTCAGCTGCGGGACATGGTTTTCTTGGCAATTCAGTCTAAGCAGTAGGTAGAAAGCAAAATATCAATGTTTATTAGGCATCTGGAAGGTTGAAAGCAAATATATACATTTATAACAATGATCTCTATTATCGTTTAATACAAGGATACAGCAATTGAGATAAAGCAAATGACACCTTCAGACCGCAATGAATCAAATTAGACAGATTGGTGCAGGTTAAAAATATAAGTGAGATAAGGGAGTAATACCAAAAGCAAAACCATTGACCTTACTTAGCAACGACTCCGTTATCAACCCCCCCTGGAAGTTACATATACATTAGTATACTGCGATGCCCAAAATGCAAAAGAATGGGTTACGTATTGATAATGCATGGTTATTTAGACTCCAGTTCTTTTTAGGCAACCATATTTGATATTACAATCCCTATTTTATGATTGATTCATGGGCATAAATCAGACAGCTAGTATAGGTAGCTGTTGAGTTTATATGATTTTCAATGGTGCAAAATACAAAATTTACATACTGGTATATGTTGCACCTATCGATCACAGTTAAGTTTCTTCTTGAAAAGTGCCCATGACCCAATCCCGAAACTAGTCTTTACTGTCTCTCTCGGAAGATGAACGTATCTCTGTCTGGAGTATTGAGGATCTTAAAAATCTGCTTCATATCCTCTCCGTCCCAACCAACATGGAACTTTTCGATGATCTGTGGAGATGGAGAAAAGCTGTAGGCAATGACATTCTACGACGAGAAAAAAAAAAAAAAAAGAAGTATGTCATAAATGTCCTTTTCGTACATATGCCCCCCTCCCAAATGTAAGTTCAAGCTTAGCGCAAAATGTTCAATGACACTAGCTGTTCCTTTTCCTTACCTTGAAAGCTAAGTAAAGGCAATTTTTAATGCATAACATTCATTCCTTCCTTCTTAGTTAAGATCTTTTAGGGGGTCATGTGATGTCATTAAAACTTCTTACCTGTAGTTTCCCCAACTTTATATGATCCTAGTTTTAACTTACCCTGGTAAGACCAAGAAATAGTTCTTGTTCCGCAAAGCGCCGACCTGAATATGCAAAAATGGAAGACGAAAATATCCCTGAATATTTTTGTTGTCTCTACAGAGTCATATCGCTCCTCGAGCTCTGAAAATGTGATGATTTTCTTAGAGGATCTTAATTGATGATTTGAATTGATCGGGAGGCCTTTGTGTGAAAACATTTACAACTGTTAAGGCTTGCCTGGCTTTTGTGGGTTTCAACGGCTTTACAAATCTAGCGGTTCCGGCCGCCAGAAGTGCGATTTATTTAGTCAGGCTGAGGAAGAAACATACCGATGCACATCCTTGGTCCATAGCCAAAAGGCAGAAGGGCGAATGCCTGGACATTTGTTGATGACTCAGTCCGGAGCCACCTCTCCGGCATGTACGATTCCGGTTCCGGATAATACTCCGGCTGCCTGCTGATAACGTTATGTGCCATGATAACCTGAGTCTGGAAAACAACAAGGTAAAGTAAGTATTTTCGAATTCGTATGTGATTGCGTCCCACGTCGGATTACAAACCATTATTGAGGATGAGTGTAATATTCCGTACTTATATCAGTTTTTGTTTAAAAAAATATGCAAGTGTTGGTAACAAAATAGAGGTAATCTCTATATGATACTGCAGTACTAATCTTGACAGGAATATGGAAATGAAAATCCTACTTTAGCAGGTACGCGATAGCCTGACAGCACAACGTCACGATTCAGGATCCTTGTGTTGAAGAAGGTGGTCGGGTAAAGCCTACATCATATCACAGAACAGAAACAAATCAGCTGCAGCCAAATGAATGCAAAAAGCCACTTGAGCCTGCAAAGGTTAAAAATGCACCCAAATAGCCTAGTTAACTGTATCTGTATCGGTATAGCCGGTATAACCGCCCTTCGGCGTAACACACCAGCTTCGCAGGTTAGCATCAGTAAAGGTACAAAGGAGGTGAAACGGTACCTGAATGTCTCCTTGACCACAGCGCGAAGGTAGTGCATCTTGTTCAGCACCCTGTCGTCTATGGGCTGCCCTGGTGGAACAACCTCCGTGATCTCTTCGTACAGTTTTTGTTGGGCAGCGGGATTTTTCGCCAAGAAGTAAAGATTAAAGGCCATCGTGTTCCCTGTCTGTTTAAGAAACAAAATAGCATCTAAAACAGCAACATGTGGTATAGCTACATTCAATCATTCTTTCCCTCCTCTAGGCAGATTCTTTTAAACCTGTAGACTGATTATTATCTTCGATAAATGATCATAATTTCATAATAACGACTTGCGTGAGCAACGAAAAAAACATCGGCATATACATCGTCAAGCTACACTGGGCTATTTGAACTTCATTCAGACGGGTGGTACAAACTCTTAGGTACATATAACCCACTACTAAAGTCACGCGTATGTGAGGTCGACGTGTTCAAAACAAAATTGGGCCAGTATTAATGAAAAAAAAGGTATACAGGATCGGACTTTACATAAAGGTATGGCTTAGGATATGGTAAATTGCCTGTATTGGATGTCGGAGGTTTGCTCATTAAATACTAGTATTCATATATATAGGTCATTTCATGAGCATTGATAATGCCTCACCGAATCAACACCACCAATTATCAACCCAATCGCCATCATGATCACCTCGTCCATCGCCATGTCTTTCTGGGACATGAGGTTAAACAAAAAATCTGTCTCCTCAGGTGGCGCGTCCATTTTGCGGAGTTCCGCTAGCTTTTCTCCGACCATCTTTCCTGCAACACTGGTTGGCAAAATTAGCTAATGTCATCTACTGTTCTATGACAATGCATTATGTAAATTTCTTCTTTTATTCATAACTGTGAATTTCTCTTTGATTCTGACTACTAGTATAATCTTCCCACTAGTCCCGATGGCTACAGATATAAATATAGCGGGAAATTGAAGACAGGAAATTATATAACCTTTAGGGGACCTTTGACCTAACTTCCTGTCAGTGTCCACGACGTGCCTAGCATGTGAAAGTAACAACGAAGACGCAAGCAAGCACACTCAAAAAATTCTAAGGTTGAAAGGTGTATGGCAAATGGGATATTTGTTTGTGGTGACATATATCATACCTATTCATCGTGTCCAATGCTCTCACAAACTTCTTCCAAGCCGGCGTGCTGATGTACTTGTACACTGGAGGTGACATTTCCAGCTTAGCGAGATAGAAAAAGAGCTCGAGGATCGCTGAGATCATCCGCTGGGCGTCAGAGTCTCCAGCCAGTTGATCCAGGTTCAGACAGCCCAACCGTTTTCCCAGAACCACCAGGCTCAAAGCTGGAGATAGGAAATCGGAGATCTCTTACCTCCTTGAAATATTCAGCGTGTTTGCATTTCAGAGTTTTGGTCCAAGCATTTTCCCACTGACTCCTATAAGGCAAGCTGGAAACATGCATATAGCACTGACTCGAAGACAGTTGAAAATATGATGACCTTGGAATCTCAGACCTAATTTTTGATACGAAGGCACTGTAAACGACGATCGATACATACCAATCGTTGGCTTGTGCTTTTGGGCTACTGATTTACGACCATTTCTACCCAGAAGCAACGGTTTCGACCGCTAATGAATACTCACACTCAAGTCCCCATTTGTGCAGTAAGTTCATGAAGTTGTTCACTTGGCCACTGCTGTCACCCTTCCGTACAGCGGTCTGTATCAGCCCGGCCAGATCCTTTGACACCTCGTCCTGCATGGGCGCGTACACACCGACGGACTTGGGACGCATCATGTCCTTGTTGACGGAACTTCGGACGCGGCGCCAGTCTTCTCCCTGTCTGCATGTAGAAATAAGAGCAGCGTTTATATACTGAGGAAACATCTCGTGCAGCATCAGGTTTTTGTTTTTTCATGTGTTAATCTGTCTGTCTGTTTGTTTGTTTGTTTGTTTGTTTGTCCGTAGTTATTTGGATATAGAGTCGCAAGAAATGGGAGAGAGGGTAGTTTAACCACAGACTGAAAGGTCGTTTGGAGGTCTCCCAGCAGGATGGGAGGAAGTTACAATAAAATATACGCAGAGTCATCGAGAAACACACAATAAACTAGAGTTCCACGATCTCATACCTTCGACAAATGATGTTACCCTTGGGCCATGGCGAATGTTGACGAGTCGCATTAATTATGGAAATCAGACATTCATTTGCATAAACACTATCTGCCAATGTTCTTCTTCTTCACAATTACACATGCCACGCGTTTGAATAATCATATCATGGAAGGTAGCAGATTTATAGCATTTCCTCGTTAATTATGCTAATTAGCTGCTGATTTGTATAACTATCATTTTATTATGTCAAGCATTCTTTGAGGTACCCACATACCAAAAATCATGATGATATGTTAATCGGTTCTTGAGTTATATTCCTTCGAATATTTTTCAACGAATGCTTCTGCAGTTCCAGAACAAGTCGCTAGGGGGTCCAAACCCATGTCACTTCTTCCCCAAAGAGCTACCTACCATCCAAATTTAGTGGCCCTACCATATCCAGATCACGAGATATCAAAACCGGAAGTTCAGCTGCAGTACCATAACAAGCCGCCAGGGGGTCCAAAATCTAATCAGTTCCAGGTCTCATCAAGACCTACCCACCTACTAAATATAAAGACAATCCACCTTCTTGAGTTATCGTGTTCACACACACACACACACACAGACACACGAACGCCAACGAAAACATAACTTTCTTGGCGAAGGTAATACAAGCTTTTAAGCTTAAAAGGTGGTAAACCTAGACCTTCCATGCAATCACATAGGCAAACGCAACGATATAGAATATCTAAACTGCGTAACGTGATATGCATTTATTTCTTATGAATACAGATATAGATATCCTTACAGATTGGCAAGACCTTTGGGCTTCTTTCTCACTGCGCGGTATGTGTTCAGGGCGTTTATAATAGGCCGCTCGGGGTACCGTCCGTCGCTTCGGAAAACCGTCGCGATGTCCTTCGGGTCACACACGAACACCGTATGCCGGCGTGGGCCCAACTTCTCCCGATAGATCTTTCCGTACGTCTGGTACCTTTCAATTGTGGAATGGCCCAATTTCGTATGTATTGGAAAACGCCCTGTAACATTAAATACGAGATAAGATTATTTATATTTTATTCCATACCACTCCATAACATAGGTATGGATGAATTGTATTGTTTATCCTCATGTTTCTTATTCCCCTCCTTCTCCTTCTGCTGCCATTTCGTTAGATGAGTTCAATTTTTTTTCATTTTCGGGCCATTATTTTTGTGCGGGGTGCATGGGAACAATCTTTTATTTGGGGGCAAATTGGGAAGGCTCCACTTCAGACTGGGATTCTTGGCAATATTGTCGTTCACTGTTGGGCAGAAGTCAGTTTGTAATGTCCTTCTTTTACACAGGATGAGTTTTGGAACAGTCCATTTTTGGTTGGGGGAGATAAAGAGAAATATGCTGTATTTGCTCACGAGCAAAATGTCGGCATTTCTATTCCTACAATAGCATATACTTTTTGGTGCTATTTTTTTAATTTTTAAACCACAATAGTCACGCGAACAATCACAAGGGTGTCCAATGTGCAAAGGTCAAACCAAGGACAATGTGACAATTTAAATTGTCCTTGGTTTGGTCACGTAAACGCTCATAAAACTGTGCCGAACTTTGAATGCAAACACGTAGTTTGTGCACTATTCTCTTGTGTGGTGTCGCTTTAACATTTGGCACGGTGCCGAGTGCATGCATGCATGCATGCATGCATGCATCAGACGATTGCAAATAACTTGTTGAAGTGACTGCAGCATGCCAACCTGTTTCGAGACTTTATGAGGTATTATGCTAAGTATCGTAATACATGATTCGTTATTGCCCAAAGGAACTAAGACTTTGCATAATGCACTTGAACATGTGTGCATGGACAATAACTTGACCTTTGACCAGTAGCTGTACGGAAGCTGGTCCCCTCCCCTACAGTCTGCTATGTTGTGTAGCTTGTGTCTGAGCCTTACCGAACGGACTGTAGTCCAGCGCCGAACCAAAAAAGGGGAGGCCTTTCGGACCCGGAATCTCCTCAAACGGCCGGACTGCCTCTTCTGGGGCGGCCTGTTCATCCGCGGTGGCTGTAGAGGCGGCCCCACGACTGCTCTGACGCAGACAAAACCTCCACAGACCCGAGAGCCTCGCGTCGGGGACAGCTGCCCTCCTACCTGCGAGCTTTAGCAAATGGGACATGGTACGAGTTGCTCGTTGTCTGCAGGAACTCTACAGGAACTATAGATTACTGTTGTGAAATGTTGAAGCACTTTTCAAATACGTTACTTCGTCCTAGACGGTGACTTGTACAGAGCTCAGGGCTAGGCACGGAGACGGAAGCCTTTCTTTTCACCTGATCCGAACTTGGCCCGAGCGTCATGACGTCATGGCAGCTAGGTCACAGTCTATAAACAGCCTACACTGTGAGAGTGAAGACCGTGTGCTGCAAATATAAACAAGCCTTTCCACTCACTATTTTCTGTGGTCTCACTATTTTCTGTGGTCTCGACATTTTTCTGGATTCTGGACTCGGTCTTATAATGAGCAAAACTGATATTTTCTGTGTTCTCAACTGTTTTAAACAACGCTGGTTGTACTGTCAACGGAATAGTAGATAGTGGTGGGTAATATTCTATGTTTGCCCTCGTGTTAAAATCTTGAGATTTACTTTGCAGCCTCAGGGTGATTGGACAAACTCTGTGACCTTTGCCCTTTCAACCTATAAACACACCAGCTCATTGGTTCACGTACTTTGGACTATATCATCGCACAAAAATAAATGAAATGCACTAACAGATCAGAGCAACAAAAAGATTTATCAGGGATCAAGCTAGAAATATAAACTAACTGTCGTAGAAAGAATATGTGCAAAAATAATGAATGCAATTGAGAAAGGTAGTGAGCTTGGTAACATCTTTTTGGCAATACTAGATGATGAAAGACAAATTAAAATATTTACCTTATTTTGCAACTACTCCATTACTAAAACTCTCTTGTTGTGTATGTAGTTTCTGCCACGATGCCCAAATACAGAAGAACAGTAAACTGTGTCGTTTCTTTCACGGGGTCACCTAACTTGCATTATGTGTCGCCCTGCTGCCTGGCAAATGTAGCGGAAGGATATATGTACTCATGTAGCAAATCATAATTCTAATATCAAAAGCAATTAAAATCTGCTACAACCAAACAGATTGTAGTTGTGACTACTAGTATACAAAACATATCTGTGTTTCATCCAACCCATCTACAAATATACTGCAGATCAACATCAAATTACGTCAGTGTAAAAGGAAATGGTGACATACTTAGTACTTAATACGACTCTCTCTCTCTCTCTCTCGAAAGCCACGTTGTTTCGTAATTGATAGGAATGTGTATATGGGATTACAATATTGACACTTAGTCATAACTTCATCTGTTTATAAAGTTATCTAATGTTATAATTATTACCTATTAGTCTGTCTGATTGGGCAAAATTAGACAGCTAGCAAGTTGAGTTTATAGGATTTTAAATGGTGCAAAATACAAAATTGTTAATATACATGTATATTGCACCTATCACATCAATCTTCTTTTTTTAAGTGCTCACGACAGAATCTCCGAAACTAGCGATGTCTTTACTGTCTCTCTCGGAAGATGAACGTATCTCTGTCTGGGGCGTTGAAGGTCTTGAAAATCGGCTTCATATCCTCTCCGTCCCAACCAACATGGAACTTTTGGATGATCTGTTTGGAGAAAATCTGATTAACATCAATTCATGACTTGGCAGTATCACTCTACCGCAAAAATATAAAGGTTTTCCTCAGGAATATTAGAAATTTAGACTTCCATTCGGTATGTGCCCTAGAAAATATAGACGTCCAAGCCTCGAGCCAAATGTTCATCCTAGATCGTCCTAGTTTACACTTACCCTGATAAGACCGAGAAATAGCTCTTGTTCCGCAAACCGCCGACCTGAAATTATGCAAAAAGAGAAGGCAATGTTAACCTAGAAACAGACAAGTGGAGGTCCCATGTTTGAGGACAGTCATATTTCAAGCAAGCTAAATCCACACAAGTATTCTCGGTGTGAGTGGTTCAAACCTCACAGTCTAGATCTGGTCTCAGAGTTGACACCTTAAGAAGATGATAGCCACTTATGTCAAACCTTCCACAATGTGTGGTAAAGCTCAATAAGGGCAATGAATTGAAGATTTATCTTCCCTCGGAAGTCATATTGCTTCTTTGGATTTGGAAAACCATACATGGTTTTCGTAGAGGATATGTCTTATGATTTCAATAGGAAGACCTGTGACGTATTACCTAATAACACAGTTTGTTCTTTGCCTACGTTGTCAGTATCATGTGCGGTTCAACAAGATAATGCAAGACAAGTAAAATGCGATGTTTCTACATGTATTATTCTATAGGCTTATATTCGTCATGCAGAGAAACGTACCGACGCACATCTTTGGTCCATAGCCAAAAGGCAGATGGGCGAATGTCTGGACATTTCTTGATGACTCAGTCCGGAGCCACCTCTCCGGTATGTACGATTCCGGTTCCGGATAATACTCCGGATGCATGCTGATGACTTTATTAGGCACGATAACCTGAGTCTAAAAAAAGTCAAACGTAAATGTAACCATTTCTGAATTCTATCGTAATTGTGTCCGAAGTTCCTGGCTACTAACAGCCATTTTGAGGGCGAGTACAATGTTCGAAGAAAACGCATGAATTCTTCTCAAAGACACATCAGTTGTACAATGGACAAGAGGCTTCAACACTACACGCATACCTTTATACCTATACCTATGCAGCCTATATGATACTGAAGTCCTGATTTTGACAGGGATATAAAAAAAAATAAAATTCATACTTTAGCAGGTACACGATAGCCTGACAGCACAACGTCACGGTTCAGGATCCTTCCGTTGAAAGGGAGGGGTGGGCAAACCCTACATTCAAAGAAAGAAATCAAACCAAAGGAGAGTGGTAATCACATGGATCCGGAGGTCCCTCCATATGCACATAAACATACCATTTTCCTTACATATGTGGTGAGTTCTGATTATATTTGTAGTTTTAAAGGGCTTCCTCATTACACATATCCGTATAATGTAACGTTACCTCTGTATTTCACGTACTTTGTATAGATAACCAATCGTGGTCTGTGGCATGCACACAACCATTCATTCATTCATTCACTCACACATTCTTTCATACATTTACATGTACATGTTATCCAAGTATCGTATATAATTTATGTAAATTGGCGAATAGTATAAACGCGTATATGCAGAATGTTTGAGCTAGTAAACCTAAAAGAAAAAAAAAATACACAAATATTATTAGCATCAATAAAGGTAAAGGGAGGCGTGTCCGTACCTAAATGTTTCCTTGACCACAGCACGAAGGTAGTGCATCTTGTTCAACACCCTGTCGTCTATGGGCTGCCCTGGTGGAACAACTTCCGTGATCTCCTCGTACAGTTTTTGTTGGGCAGCTGGATTCTTCGCCAGGCAGTACAGATTGAAGGCCAGGGTGTTTGCAGTCTGACGTTTGTGGGAACAATAAACTGTATGAAATACAGCTAGTCAGGCCCGTGACTTTTCTTCACATCATCGTGTCAAACTACACTAATTCTTTAATTAATGATAATATTTCCAAAGGAAAGCTAACAGCAAATTAATGTTGATTATTTGTTGACATTTTAGATTGCTTGTATTGGATCAGAAGGTTACTCATTAAAGATACATTGGTCATTTCATCAGTAGTAACGAGGAGGTTAACCTCCTTGTTAGTCGATAATGCCTTACCGACTCAACTGCACCAGTAAGCAACTCAACCGCCATCATGACGGCCTCGTCCAACGTTATGTCTTTCTGGGACAGGAGGTTGAACAGAAAGTCTGTCTCCTCCGGTGGCCCGTCCATTTTGCGGAGTTCCTCCAGCCTCTCTCTGATCATCTGTTCTGAAATACTGGTGTAAGACCGGTCGTCCAAAATTAGCTAATTTTATAGTAATTTAATTTCTGAGACCAAATTCGGAACAGATGCTTTGGACTTTTGAACGACAAAGGCAGCATTCAACACGGTAGAAATATGCCGATATTCAATGAAGTTCAATTTTCTAATGGAAAGATAATTAGATCAGCCTGATCTCGGGGGTATCAGTAATCTTCTTATTGTGTTTGATCACTCGACACGGTACTTCATAAAACAAGAAAACAGAGAGTGGCATATTGGAAGTGAAAAAGAAAGAAATCGAATATCTCATAATAACTGTTCAGAATGTTTATGACTTTCTTGTTTTATTTTAAATTTCTCGATAATTCTGTGTACACATAAGGCCATGTTGATTTGATTATATGGATGACATCCGCGCGCGCATGAATTTTCGGCCGTTTCCAAAAGAAAAAAAAGTTTTCAACCATACTGTAAATCGTGCAAAACAGTTGCTAAATGAGCAAAAATATACCATAAGTTGCAAAGAAAACATTTAGAAACGATACCAATGTCGTAGAATGCCAAAATCAAAGAAAAACAAGAAGCCATAGGTGACAATTCTCCGTGAAGTATTATATATTGCAACAAAAAGAAGTAGCCATTGGCGACAATTCTCTGTGAAGTGTGATAAATCGAACAAAGAAAAATTGTTTAAACGCGCGTCGGCTCAGTCATCTTAAGACGCAACAACCAATCAGAGATGCGAGATGCCTACACGTGACGCGGGAAGGGCGCGCGATGCCCGAAATATTTTTGCGTCAATATTCAGCGCCGTGATTCAAGAGATTAATACCCGGAAACAATTTTTTTCTTGTTTTGAACGCATTAACATGCATTTACGCTAATCTAGTATGATTCAGGGTTACTTTTTTTAACCTGCCATGGCCAGATTATCTAAAGATGTGTGTATTGTGTGTACAATCTATAGAAAGAGAAATGTACATCAGGTCCGATCATCCGATTTTCTACGTTTCGGTTTTTTGGACTCGGTTCATGAACGTATTTTGGTTTGGCTCCTGGAATGTGCAAAAAATGACTCCCGGGACTGTCTACAGGGAACACTCGCACATTCGCGGTGTATCAGGACAGCGCGACTGGTCGTCATTAGCGCAGTAACAGTTGCATAAACGGACGAAACCATTTCAAAGAAATGGGGATGTTTCGAAAATAAGCATTTACTCCAATATCAAAACAGCTACGGTAAAAATAAAAAGACGTGCATCATCCCGGACATAATGCAACACCACATGCGAAATTACACAGAAATGCGACGTACGGAAGAATGCGTTTTGGCTGCGAACATCTTCCAAAAAACTTGGCATCTCTTAACCATGGGCAAAAACATCTGGAACCACTTATAAAAACCACCCCGTATCTGCATGAACTTTTTTGAACCCCACTGCTATTCCAAACAACGCGTTTTTCTGGACCATTCCAATTCGCCTCGTAATTGTAGGGGTGCGTCTGCGATATTACATTGACCGCGAAAGCAGCAACGGCAAAAATACACATTCGTGCATCAACACGGGCATGCCCGCAGACGGCGTATAAAATTGCGTGCCGATTACACAAAGAGAACCCAGTGTTTTGACTGCGAACATGAAAAATCAGCCGATTACAACACTCCGTCCGGAGGTCCTGACCTCCTTCACGGAGTAAAAAGACAAAAATGTAAAGAAATGAATTCGAACAGTAGATTATTCGCCATAACATATTCTGTGCCATTTGTTCAACCTTCATGACCACGTAGATTTCATAGTGAAAGCAACTTTTTTTTTGCAAAACTTTTTTTTATTCGCACGCGCGCATCAGTTTTGGGGTTCCCAGAGGATGTCATCCATATAATCAATGGAGGAAGTGTAAAGAAGGTGTACAGCAAGTGACATGTAGAATTATTAAAATGTCGTTCTTTCTTACTGGTAACATGTGACATACCTAATCATCGTGTCATTAGCTCTCACAAACTTCTTCCAAGCCGGTGTGCTGATGTACTTGTACACGGGAAGTGACATTTCGAGCTTGGCGAAGTAGAAAAAGAAGTCGAGGATCGCTGAGATCATCCGCTGGGCGTCAGAGTCTTCAGACAGTTGATCCAGGTTCAGACAGCCCAACCGTTTTCCCAGAACCACCAAGCTCAAAGCTGAAAACGAGAAATCGAATATCTCAAACCTCCGTGAAATACCGACAATTTTAATGAATTTCTTGTTTTAAACGTAGTTGTGCATATTATTGGGAATTGAAGGAAAGGAATCAGATCCCCTTATCTGGAACCATTGACCAAACTTCCTGCCAATGTCCCCAAATGTGCCTAGCATGTAGAAACACGAGCGAACACAAGACACACAGGAAAGATCTTCGTTTCCGGTGGTATTAAAACTAAATACTAGTAGTGGAATACATTTTCGTACAGGAAGAGCGAACTGCAGCAAATTTGAGAGTCATCGCTGACTGCTGCAGGCTATGTAACAAACACTCACACTCAAGTCCCCATCTGTGCAGTGTGTTCATGAAGCTGTTCACCTGGCCACCGCTGTCGCCCTTCCGTACAGCGGTCTGTATCAGCCCGGCCAGAATCCTGGACACCTCGTCCTGCATGGGCGCGTACACACCGACGGGCTTGGGACGCATCATGTCCTTGTTGACGGAACTTCGGACGCGGTACCATTCTTCCCCCTGTCTGCACAATATGCAAGAGCAGTGTATATATACTGAGATTCTGCGAAAACGTCTCATGCAACATATTTGATTTGTGCGGTTTTGTTGTCACTGTACATTTATTACCTTCGCCAAGAATTGGAGAAGGATATGTTTTCCTGGCCGTGTGTGTGTGTGTGTGTCTGTCAACAGCATAACTCGAGAAAGCATATATGGATTATCTTGATATTTGGTAGGTGGGTAGGTCTTGATGAGAGCTCGAACTGATTAGATTTTGGGCCCCCTGGCGGCTTGTCATGGTAATGCAGCTGAACTTCCGGTTTTGATATCTCATGATCTAGACAAGGTAGGGTGACGAAATTTGGATGGCAGGTAGCTCTTGTGCTGGGGACGAAGTGACATGAGTTTGGGCCCCCTAGCAGCTTGCTCTGGAACTGCAGGGGGGTTTAAAGGACAAATGTTTAAAGAAGGATAACTCAAGAACCGATTGATGGATCATCATGATTTTTGGTATGTAGGTAGCTTGAGTAATGCTTGACATAATGATATTACAATTATGCAAATATGGATGTAATTTGCATAATTAATGAGGAAATTCTATTAATCAGCTGCATTCCATGATAGGAAGTTCAAGCTTGCGACATATGTTATTAACAACGAGAGAAACACAGGCAGATATCGATTATGCAAATGAAGACTTAATTTGCATAATTAATGAGAAAATGTTATAATTGCAGTGTTTGAAGTTTAGTGAAGGTGAACATAATTTAACATAACTTATTCAAATAAGGACCTCATTTGCATAATATATGAGGAAATGCTATAATGGCATTCTTTGTTAAAATAAGACTGTTGGTGGAGATTATGATCAACAGATGTAATTCATGCAATTGCGGATCCTATTTGCATAATCAGGGGGATTAATACATTGTATATAAGTTCTTATTCATAAAAGCTAACATTATTTGGCGAAGGTATGAGATCGTGGAACTCTAGTTTGTTTGTTTGTTTGTTTGTTTACTTTTTGTTAGTAGTTGTGCTCTACAGAAATAACGCAGACAAAACGACTTCTTTGACCATCTATGCAATCACATAGGCAAGCGCAGCGATAAAGATATCCTTACAGGTTCCCAACGCCTAGGGGCTTCTGTCTCATCTTGCGGTATGTTAAGTTGGAGTTTGAGATAGGTCGTTCGGGGAGTCGTCCGTCGCTTCGGAAAACCGTCGCGATGTCCTTCGGGTCACACACGAAAACAGCTTCCAAACTTCCAAACTTCTCCCGGTAGATCTTTCCGTACGTCTGATACCTTTCAATTGTGGACTGCATAATTTTTGTGTGTATTGGAAAACGCCCTGTAACGTAAAAAAAATGTTATCATAGTATTTACCGGCAAACCGCGTGCACAGCACTCACGCGGAACAAACACAGAGGTCCAATGCAAAGGTCAGTTTCGTCAAGTAGTAAAAAGAAAACTTTGCTCAGACAGCATGCAAACATGTCAACGTTGATCGATTTTCCATGATTCAATAAAATACATATTACCTTCGCCAAGAAGGTAATGTTTTCAGTAGAGTTTTTTTTTGTTTGGCTGTGAACAGCATAACTCAAGAAGCTTTGTATGCATTGTCATGAAACTTGGTGACATGAGTTTTGTTATGGAACTGCAGGAGCGTTTGTTGAAAAATATTCAAAGGAGAATAACTCAATAACTGGTTGACGTATTGTCGTGATTTTTGGTATTTAGGTAGCTGAAGTGATCCTTGACAAAATCAGATGACAATTATGCAAATCAGGAACTAATTTGCATAATTAATGAGGAAAATCTTTAAATCTGCTTCGTTCGATAATAGGACTACGAACACTTGTGACATGTAATTAAGAACGAGAAAAACATCTGAGGATATAGATTATGTATATCAAGACCTAATTTGCATAACTAATGGAAAATTGTTATTATAATTTAATAGTTGTAACTGCTGGGAATTTAATACTTGCCGCATTAGGAAGTTAAGTGAAGGTGAACATCAATAAACAAAATTTATTCAAGTCATGACCTCATTTTCATAATTTATGAGGAAGTGCTAGAATAGAATATTCTGTTAAGATAAGGCTGTTATTGGGGGGTCAACCGCAAGGGTTAACATCATTTGGCGAAGGTATGAGATCGTGGAACTCTTGTTCTGTCTTATTTGAGGCAGAGAGTTCGAGATAAGCGACATGAATAAGGATAATACTTATACAATTCTATTGCTCATGGGAACTGAGTTTTGCATAATGCACCTTGATATGTGTGCATGGCTCAACGTTGCAACATGGATACCAACTTGGCCTGTACACCCCTCCTACCATAACAGTCTGTAGTACGCTGTACCCGCGGCTTAATCCTTACCGAACGGACTGTAGTCCAGCGACGTACCGATGAAGGGGAGGCCTTTCGGACCGGGAATCTCCTCAAACGGCCGGACTGCCTCTTCTGGGGCGGCCTGTTCATCCGCGGTGGCTGTAGAGGCGGCCCCACGACTGCTCTGGCGCAGACAAAACCTCCACAGACCCGAGAGCCTCGCGTCGGGGACAGCTGCCCTCCTACCTGCGAGCTTTAGCAAATGGGACATGGTACGAGTTGCTCGTTGTCTGCAGGAACTCTACAGGAACTATAGATTACTGTTGTGGAATATTGAAGCACTTTTTCAAATATGTTAGTTCGTCCTAGACGGTGACTTGTACAGAGCTCAGGGCTAGGCAGACGGAAGCCTTTCTTTTCACCTGATCCGAACTTGGCCCGAGCGTCATGACGTCATGGCAGCTAGGTCACAGTCTATAAACAGCCTACACAGTCACTGTGAGAGTGAAGACCGTGTGCTGCAAATATAAACAAGCCTTTCCACTCACTATTTTCTGTGGTCTCACTATTTTCTGTGGTCTCGACATTTTTCTGGATTCTGGACTAGTGGCAATTATCTCACTCAGTCTTATAATGAGCAAAACTGATATTTTCTGTGTTCTCAACTGTTTTAAACAACGCTCAGGAACGCTGGCTGTACTGTCAACGGAATAGTAGATAGTGGTGGGTGATATTCTATGTTTGCCCTCGTGTTAAAACTTAAGATTTACTTTGCAGCCTCAGGGTGATTGGACAAACTCTGTGACCTTTGCCCTCTCAACCTATAAACACACCAGCTCATTGGTTCACGTACTTTGGACTATATCATCGCACAAAAATAAATGAAATACAATAACAGAACAGAGCAACAAAACGATTTATCAGGGATCAAGCCAGAAATACAAACTAATATGTGCAAACATAATGAATTCAATTGAGAAAGGTAGTGAGCTTGGTAACATCTTTTTTACAATACCAGACGATGGAAGACAAAAATATTTACCTTATTTTACAACTACTCCGTTACTGAAACTATCTTGTTGCGTATGTAATTTCTGCCGCGATGCCCAAAATACAATGTACAAAAGAAGAATAGTTTAAACTGTGTCGTTTCTTTTACAGGGTCACCTAACTTGCATATGTGTCGCCCTGCAGCCTGGCAAATGTAGCGGAAGGGTATATATACTCAAGTAGCAAATCATAATACTAGTATCAAAAGCAATTGAAATCTGATGCAACCAAACAGATTGTAGTGACTACTAGTATACATAACATATCTGACTATCTGTACTTTGACGATCATCCAACTCATCTAAAAACATACTGCAGATCAACATCAAATTACGTTAATGTAAAAGGTGGCGTACTTAATACGACTCTCTCTATAGAAAGCCATGTTGTTTGTAATTGATAGGAATGTGTATATGAGATTATTATATTGACACTTAGTCCTAACTTCGTCTGTTTATTAAGTTATTTGATATTACAGTCCCTATTTTTATGATTGATTCATGGGCATAAATCAGACAGCTAGTATAGGTAGCTGTTGAGTTTATATGATTTTCAATGGTGCAAAATACAAAATTTACATACTAGTATATGTTGCACCTATCGATCACAGTTAAGCTTCTTCTTGAAAAGTGCCCTTGACCCAATCCCGAAACTAGTCTTTACTGTCTCTCTCGGAAGGTGAACGTATCTCTGTCTGGAGTATTGAGGATCTTAAAAATCTGCTTCATATCCTCTCCGTCCCAACCAACATGGAACATTTGGATGATCTGTGCAGATGGAGAAAATCGGCTTGAAATAAATTGATTAGGCAATATCACTCTACCACAAAACTAAGATTTCAAAGTTTCCCTGAAGACTATTAGAAACTCGTCTTCCGTATGTGCCATAGAAACTCCAGACATCTAAATCTCGATTCAAAACCAATGACACTTGCTGCTCTTTTACACGAAAATTGAGAAAAAAAAGCATGACATCAAGAACAGATTACATTTCCTGTTGCCACATCTTTCGCCAACTTGAGATGGTCCTATTTTTATTTACACTCACCCTGGAAAGGCCCAGAAATAGTTCTTGTTCCGCAAATCGCCGACCTGACAATACAAAAAGAGAAAAGGAACATTTTAACGTTGAAACAGCCAAGTGGAGTTCCCGTATTTGAGGGCAGCCACTCCTCAAGCACGTGAAAGATCCCACCACACTTGTACGTATCGAAAATAGTAGGGATTCTTCTTTGTGCGACTAGTCCAAACCTTATAGTCTAGATCTGGTCTTGACATCTTAAAAAGGTGTCAATCTGGTCTTGACATCTTAAAAAGGTGTCAACATCATATGTAGTTCGACAATGCAATGGAATGGAATGTTTCTATTACTCTATTGGCTTGTGATCTTCACACAGAGATACTCACCGAGGCACATCCTTGGTCCATAGCCAAAAGGCAGAACGGCGAATGTCTGGACATTTGTTGATGACTCAGTCCGGAGCCACCTCTCCGGTATGTACGATTCCGGTTCCGGATAATACTCCGGATGTGCGCTGATGACGTTGTGTGCAAATACAACCCGAGTCTGAAAAAAATCAGAATGTGAAAGCAAAGAATTCGATATAAAGTCCTTGGTAAAAGGAAACCCTTTCCGAGTTCACTTGGCCTGCGTCCGAGGTTCCTGCCTATTACCTCGAGCGTAAGTGCAATATTCGTCTGTTTTGCAGAAATATAACAGTGTAACGCATAACAGTTCATTTTTAGCATATGATACTATATAGTACTAATCTTGGCCAGAATATGAAAATAGAAATCCTACTTTAGCAGGTACGCGATAGCCCGACAGCACAACGTCACGCGCCAGGATCCTTCCGTTGAAGAAGTTAGTCGGGTAAACCCTACATTCGTTGTGCAAAAAAAAAAACATTGGACAGAGGTTTATACACATGGACATGAACCTATTATCCTCCATCGCATATTTGACGTGATTTTATTTGCGTAAATTTACACACACTTCCTAGCTTGTTTACCTCTGTTCTTCACGTCCAACGCTTTGTATGGGCTACAAATGATTGGCATTGACATAATCATTCATTCATTCATTCATGCAGTGAAATATTATCCTCGTTTACTGATTTGACAAAAAGGAACTACCCAGGAATATTTCGAGCTTGAAATCATAAAACTGTGCCCAAATACCTAGTACCTGGATGTCTCCTTGACCACAGCACGGAGGTAGTGCATCTTGTTCAGCACCCTGTCGTCTATGGGCTGCCCTGGTGGAACAACCTCCGTGATCTCCTCGTACAGTTTTTGTTGGGCAGCAGGATTCTTCGCCAGGCAGTACAGATTGAAGGCCAGAGTGTTCGCTGTCTACGTTGAGGAAACAAAATGGCATGTAAAAAGCAGCTGGATAAGCCCCTCACTGTTTCTCTCCAACTGCAGATTCTTTTAAAACTGCACACTGATTTTTTAAGGTAAATAATCAAAATTTCATCATATCGACTTGTGTGAGCAAGGAACAGATATCGGCGCGTATACAGCGTCAATCTATACAGGGCCAAATGAGCATCATTTATTGGAGACTGACAGTACAATCTTCCAGGCACATATGACCCACTCCTGAAGTCACGCCTCTGTGAGATCACGTGTTGAAAGAAGTTGAGCCAGTCATCATGAAGAAGGGCATGCATAAAGGTAAAGCTCATTAATGATGCATATGAATTGCTAGGTACCAATTAGACGGTTTTCTCTTTAAAGATTCGCAAGTCACTTGACGTGTATCAATAATGACTTACCGAATCAACACCAGCAGTTATCAACTCAATTGACGTCATGACCGCCTCGTCCATCGTCATGTCTTTCTGGGACAGGAGGTTAAACAGAAAATCTGTCTCCTCAGGTGGCGCCTCCATTTTCCGGAGTTCCGCTACCCTTTCTCCGACCATCTTTTCTGCAATACTGGTGAGTGGTGTAGAAAAAAATTAGCTAATTTCATAGTAATTTCTAAGACAGAGAAAAATGCTTTGGACGATAGTTGTGACATGTGACATACCCATACATCGTGTCACTAGCTCTCACAAACTTCTTCCAAGCCGGCGTGCTGATGTACTTGAAGACGGGAGGTGACATTTCGAGCTTGGTGAAGTACACAAAGAACTCAAGGATCGCTGAGATCATCCGCTGGGCGTCAGAGTCTTCAGCCAGTTGATCCAGGGTCAGACAGCCCAACCGTTTTCCCAGAACCACCAGGCTCAAAGCTGGAGATAGGAAATCAAGGATCTGAAACCTTCGTGAAATATTGGGAATTTTTCGCTTTATTCATTATTGTGGATTTCTCTCTGATTTTATTTATTACTGTTCCCACTGGTTCTTATAAGGCCAAAGGCATACACATAGTACTGAGTCGAAGACAGTGTTAGACAACTTTTTAGGACCTTTCTGAGACCTTTGGCCTAACTTTCCTAAGAAATCACTGTTTACATTTACCAATTGTTTCTGTGATTATGAGCAACCCATTTTCGCCTGTTTGGCAAACCACCGGTAACAAACACTCACATTCAAGTCCCCATTTACGCAGTAAGTTCATCAAGTTGTTCACTTGACCACCGCTGTCGCCCTTCCGTACAGCGGTCTGTATCAGCCCGACCAGATCCCTGGACACCTCGTCCTGCATGGGCGCGTACACACCGACGGACTTGGGACGCATCATGTCCTTGTTGACGGAACTTCGGACGCGGCGCCAGTCTTCCCCCGTTCTGCAAAAATAAGGGTAACTTAGCGTTTACATACTAAGAAAACGTCTCATGCAACATATTTAATTTGTAAAAAGGTTGTGTTTCTGACGGGCAGATGAAAGGACACCCACCCACACATACGTACACACACGATCGCTACCGAAAACATACCCTTCTTGGCGAAGGTTACATGATGCTGAACGTACCCTTTCCTTTTACGATTAACATGAACGTTCTACGCGGTAATATAAACACAGGCCAAAATATCGACCGTATCCATGAGGCAGACGCAGTGATGGAGGCTAGTGATTTAGAATATCTAAACTCATGTAACGTTATATGCATTCAGTACTTATATATATACAGAAATCCTTACAGATTTGCAAGGCCCACGGACTTTTTTCTCATATTGCGGTATGTTACGATGGAGTTTATAACAGGCCGCTCGGGGAACGGTCCGTCGCTTCGGAAAACCGTCGCGATGTCCTTCGGGTCACACACGAACACTGATTCCGGGTTTGGACCAAACTTCTCCCGGTAGATCTTTCCGTACGTCTGGTACCTGGCAATTATAGAATGGCCTATTTTTGTCTGTACTGGAAAACGCCCTGTAACATAAAATATAACATAATGTCATGATAGTATTTCTAAAAGAAATTGAAAATGGGGCGGATAGAATTTATGGAAAATAGCAAGCTCTTCCGAAATTTCTCCCAACAGTTTTCTGTTGCCTTGACCTGACTTCTCGATGTGACATTTGGAATTGTTGTGGTTTGTGGCTAGGGAATGCCCCCCACCCCACCCCACTCATGTGCTATGATCATTTAACTGTGCGAAGTACTGCGAACATACAAGCAGGCGCACAATCACATACACACAAGTGACACAAACATACATTTATACAGTACCGGTACTATCACACTGCCTCCACACATGGTGGTAATTATGCATCAATCGTTTTACTTGGCAATATTTTTATACCTTGCACAATTACTAAAATGACCAATACAAAAAGAGGTGAAGACACAATGGGTAGTGTAACTCGATCAGCAAGGTCGTTGCACCACTATGCCGTTCACCCATGCATGACGCTTGCACAACGACCCTCTCTGCTAGGGCTGCGGACCGGTACACTGTACCGGTCCAATACCGTAAAAATCGTTTCGGTACAGGTCCAAAATACCGGATCATGAAGTAACGAGTATATACCGAAATAGCTAGTTTACACCATGTATATGACTAAAGATAGGTAAATGCTACCACAAAGACGAAAAATTAGCACTGGAAAAGACGTTAACACCGTCGATTGATTGGAGATCCTCAGTCTCACTAGACATCGCGAGAGTGTGGCTGATCCAGGGTTGTGATTGGTCAACAAACTCAAATCAGGTCAGAGGCCTTTGTTGCTTTTGTGTTGTGTCTGCATTTTGCCGCGTAAGCCTCCGTGAAGAACAAGTGTTAATTTGTCAAATTGTTCAGGTACAGGTACAGGTCCGGACCTGTACCTAAACCTCTGTACCGGTACCTGTACCTGTACCTGATGTTACGTTTAGGTACGCAGCCCTACTCTCTGCCACTTTGGGGGTTTGTTCTGCTGAGCTACTGAAGGCTATTCCAAGATCAAAGTTTTGGATGAGGAGACTTAAATATAGGACGACATATGATTTTAGTGCTCCTCAGAACTGAGTTTTGTACAACGCACCTATGCTAGTACCTCAACATAGGTTCAACCATGTCCTTGGCTGATGACCTGTACGAAACCTGACACCCCTCCTACCATAACAGTCTGTATGCTATACCCGCGGCTTGATCCTTACCGAACGGACTGTAGTCCAGCGACGTACCGATGAAGGGGAGGCCTTTCGGACCGGGAATCTCCTCATAAGGCCGGACTGCCTCTTCTGGGGCGGCCTGTTCGTCCGCAGTGGCTGTAGAGGCGGCCCCACGACTGCTCTGACGCAGACAAAACCTCCACAGACCCGAGAGCCTCGCGCCGGGAACAGCTGCCCTCCTACCTGCGAGCTTTAGCAAATGGGACATGGTACGAGTTGCTCGTTGTCTGCAGGAACTCTACAGGAAGTATAGATTACTGTTGTGGAATATTGAAACACTTTTCAAATACGTTACTTCGCCCTAGACGGTGACTCGTGCAGAGCTGAGGGCCTCAGAGCTACATGTAGGCAGACGGAAGCCTTTCTTTTCACCTGACCCGAACTTGCCCTGAATGAGGTCAGCCATGGCAACTATGTCACAATGACACCGTGAGGATCCATGAGAGTGAACTTCGTCAGACCATGTGCTGTATATAAACAAGCTTTGCAAATGTTTTTCTACACATGGTTCTGTTTCCATTTTCTGGATTAAATTCTTGAAATTCCGCTCTAATTCAACGTTAATCGTTGTTATCATACGTAATCGTACATTCATCGTGAAGCGTTATTGGTCGTTTTAATTCTACGTAAAATGTTATTTGTCATCCCAAATTCAACATCAAGCGTTAACGAATCATTCTTCATTACGCCTAATTTTGCCTTTCAAAGTGCAGGAAAATGCGTAATTGAAGGTTTAAAAATACAAAATTACAAAATACAGAATGCCCCCGGACCCCCTACATTGCTCGCGCCTTTGGCGCTCGACTCGCGCTTTTGCGCTCGGTCCCTTCGGCTCTAGCCATGCAGCACCAGTTTTCCGTCAATTACCGGAAGTTTGTGTAGAGTTACAGAATTTTTTTAACGAATCCGTCAACCTTGAGAGACAAAATTAACAAAAATCTTGAGTAAAAATATGAAAACATCAGAAGGACCGACAAACACTCTCATCACCATGATTTGCCTCTCAAAATGAAGGAAATTGCGTTTTTGAAGGATTATGAAATTCTTAATTTCCCGGGGAGCATCCCCCCGGACCCCCTTAGATTGCGGGCGCCTTCGGCGCTCCCCTCTCAAAATCCTTCGGTAAAACTAGGCGGACGGAAAAAAGTGAAGCAGGGTAGAGCCTTGGCCGACGTCGACTCCCCTTTATTTGTGGACGCACTCCGGGACCAGGGTAGGTGGGAAACACAGGGAACACATACCTTTAATGCGTGCTTCATTACACATTACACGTAAGGTATACGTAATTTTGTCAGTGATCACCTTTTCTCACAAAGCGAGATACCAAATCTAGTGCAGCTCGAAAAAAAAGTCTGTCAATTTACCGTTAAGCGTTGCACCGTCCTGAATTTACCGTTAAGCATTATCGGCCCTGCTGAATTTACCGTTAACCGTTGCCACCCCCCCCCCAGACCCTCATTCTACTTGATTTGGCCGATACTACTATGTATACTAGTATTACAGTATGTTTTTATGTTCTCGACTATGTGGTCGTACTATCAATGAAAAATAAACGTAAGTAGTTGTAGGTGTTATTCGATGTCCGTACTCGTTTGATATTTATCTTAGTCTGTAAACAACTTAAAATTTAACAACTTAAAAGCCTTCTAAGGCCTTCTGAGCGTCACTGGGTGAGTGAGGGAGAGTTGTGACCTAATTGCCCTCCGACCCCATATGAGCCCATGTTTACGGCTCAGTCGTGGACTTTGTCCCCAGCTGACATTTTGCAGAGTGCACTTAAGCGTGATCCACGCCCGAACAACTGAAGACGCCATGGACGTCAGACAGTACCTGTCACGGATACGTTACCATGGCGACAGTAGCCCCACCCTGGATAACCTGCGCGCCATCTACCAGGCACACATGCTGACCGTCCCTTTCGAGAACCTCAGGTACACCTCACAGTGTGGGTACACCTGAACCTAGGAGATCCTTCTTTTGGTACAGCAGAGTCAAACGAGGCACGTTTGGAGACGTTTACTGTGGCCTGTGTCCCAGATAAAAACGTACCTGGCCTGTATGATGAGCTGCAGACCAGTTGCTAACTAGTGGTTACGAAAGTTTTGTTTTTGGGTGGCCGAACTGTGGTTTTGTGTAGAAGATTGACAGCACGTGGGTGGGAGAAGATTGATAGGCTAAATAAAAAAGCAAGTGGCCGATTGAGGATGCTCGCGTTTTTAAGCCAAGCACATACACACACCTAGTCAACCCTACTCTTCCTCTTCTAGATAAAGTGTGTTCTTTAGTGCAAAGGTTTGATGCTTTAGCAAGGCTAATGCTTGAATTCGTAACCTAAGTCTCTATGTGGAGGCCGCTGGCCGCTAGCCATATTGTCACAAATATATTGTTCTAAAGGTCTTCATTCATTCATTCATTCATTCATTCACTCATTCTATTACTACGTTGCACTGACCTCATGATCCAAATGTTAAAAGATACCTCGATATTCCTCCATACAGCATCCTCTGTGGAGAAGAGATCGTACTTGATCTTCAGCTTCTCTACAACAAGATTGTGGTGAAGAGACGAGGAGGGTTCTGTTACGAGTGTAACGGTCTGTTCGCCTGGCTGCTCGGTCAGCTCGGCTTCAAACTCAAAACGGTGTCGGCGCAGGTGTGGACCGCCGAGAAAGAGGAATTCACGTCCGAGTTGTCCCATGTTATTAACGTAGTGAGTATAGATGGCGAGAGCTGGGTTACCGATGTGGGTTACGGCTGTGTGTTCCGTACACCCATCCGTTTGGTAGCAGACCAGGAGCATCCTGACATCACTGGGACATACAGGTAACAATATTTACATGTCATGTAGCAAGACAAGCCCCCAAAATGACACAAGTACTGCTATTTTGGCGTTAGTAGATCAAATAAGTTAATTAGATTAATAGGAAACATGACCCCTGGCCTGACGTGACCCAGAGGTCATCTGTTGTTTTCACATCAGATATTAAACGGCTTCATCAAAAATTAATATAAACTGGGGTGTGTCCCCCTAATTTAGGGTTACGCTAAATTAGGGTTATCGTAATCCTAAAATAGGGTTAGCGTAACCCTAAATTAGGGGGGCACACCCCAGTTTATTATAGGTCACAATTCGATTCTGCAAGGACATTCTACAGAGCTCCTTGGATTCTGCGCACCCTCAACTCTAGCGACCTTCTCTTTAAGGAAATAATTCTAAAGCCAAAACACTGTGTTTGCAAATGTTTGTAAACTACATGAACGCACTTTGTATTTCGTCCTGAAGGCTTCAACAAGAGGGTGATACGTGGTTCCTACAGCGAAAGAGCAAAGCACGGCTGGATGCTGACAACTACGAAGCGGTTCCTGGCGGAATTCAGAAGGACGACATGGCAGAATCTGGCGAGTGGACGGTGATGTACAAGTTCACTTTACAAGAACACGAACTGCAAGACTTCTCCGAGATGTGCACCTGGACACAGCGGTTTTCTTCCTTCACCGAACGACCATTGTGCGTGCTCCACCTAGCGGACGGTGTGGTCACCTACACCGGAAGGAAGCTCATCACAACACGTTACTACAACACACATCTCACCAAGACTACCACAGTTCTGGATAGTGACAATGACATTTTGAAGGTTCTGTGGGACACGTTTGGAATCAGATTGGAAAATCCTCTTGTAATAAAAGAGTGAGTAAGGTTTCTCAAGTGCACAAAGTGGTCTCAAACGTGTTGTTTTTTTCTGTCAACGTTATAGCTAAAACGGTTACCGAAAATTATATATAAACAGATTGCCTACCCCTACGGGAAAGGGCTTGCTATTATTAAAGCAGGGCACGGTCAACGCTGAACTGTTAAATTTTTAAAATGTAGCTGCTTTGTTATAAAAGGACATTCCCTATATAATGTCCTTGGTTATATTCGAGTAAGCGACCAGTTTGCTGAATTACTAGTGAGGCAGCAATTACGCTTTCGGTAAAATGTACCTGATTACACACTGCGCTTAACTTGAGCGACTGGCCTACAGATTACGTGGAATTAAACGGCTGGCCGTGCTCTGCGTAAAAGGAATGCAGTTCTTCTATCATGGAGGATCAGGATGGAGCTTATGAGGGTGCGGCTCAGGTTGTGTTTTTTTCGAACAGTAAGCGTATATTTACACACACAGACATCCCTTACGTCCTAACTCGAGTTCTCCGATAGTGAAGTGAGTTTTCTTCCATATTTCCTTTTTATTGTGCTTTATACATGTAGAGACAAAGGCCCTTTGGAGAGCAGGTGGCCTCTTGGTGTTTGGGTTACGTCACCAAAGAGGTGTATTGCGCAATATCAGACTATACTAATAAATTGCGCTCCAGTTGCAGTCTAGAAGGTTGAGTATAATATCGATCTAAACAGTGTTTTATATACAAGAAAAGAAACACGAGATTTGAGGAGTTTTCGGTTCAGGTCAAGTAATTTGTAAAGAGTATTCCGTGTCAAAGAATATGATGTGCTCTCCCTGTTGTAAAAATGGTTTTGCCCATCGGGGTCATAGTTGACGTCACTCCCAAACAAAGATCAGCTGATTTGCTCGGCGAGCTGCGACACAAAGTCTAACCTTAAGCAAACCATACCCAACCAAAATGTCGCCGGTTTTCGCCTTGGAGTTGGTTTTCTTCGCCTGTATTCTACTCCACGTGAAAGCCGAGACAAAATCTGACTTCCTAAGCGCCAGAGCCAACTTGTTGTCGCTGGAGCACGGGCTGAAGACGGGGGGAGACCTGACGTTGGACGATGCGGAGGAGGCGGTGAACAAAGTCCTGATGGCGCTGAAGGTTCGGGAACTGGACTCGGCGCTCGGCTCGGGCAGCTTCCCGCCGTCTCAGCACTTCTTCCACGCCAAGTCCGCGATAGAGCAGAGCCAAGTGTTCAAGTTCATCAGGAAGATGCCAAAAGGTAAAGTTGTGGTGGTGCTTTTTAGTCTCCAACAGGCACCTTGGGATGTCCGGAAAACAGCAGGGAATCATTATTTGGCAGGTCTATTTGAACCCTACGCATTATGCCCACTTGGTATAAAGAGTGATTTTTCAGAAGTGTATGTAACTCCTCTGGCTAACCACTGTGGCAAATCATCACTTAGCCAATTTCTCTTTTTACTGCAACACAAGGAGTCTGGGGGAGATTATTGTCGTTTATTAATTCATATTTTTAAAGAAATAGATATTGATTAATCTTATAACGTCTTTAATTGGGAACCGGTTTGTGATCTTAGGAGACTTTCTCTGTATTACAGCAAATGTGAATACAAGTGATTTTCTCTCTATAAAGCATAATTTGGTAACAGATAAGTTCTCTTAAAATTGAATTTATTGTACATGTATTACATAGCTGGTAAGCCAGTTCATGGTTTGAACTGCATGTGTAGAAGGTCAAAGGTGAAGGCCCTTAAACTTTTAAACAGTTCTTGCCTAGACAATGCAGGATACTGTACCATGTCCAGACATGTTTTATTTATGTCTCACATGCCTTCAACATTGACATGTTACCTAATCTCCAAGCAGATCTTTTGTTGGGGGTAAGACAGTATCAAATTGGCCAGTCTGTAACCATTTCCCCACCCAATTTGATACTGTCTTTAATACCCCCACCAAAAGATCTGCTTGGAGATTAATGTTACCCACAATGCATTACACTGTTTATCTTTTCATCTCATTCATGGTCCAATTACAATGTATCTATAATACTGTGATTCCAGATTGTTCACAGTACATTTTGTACGTACGTTTATGATCACTGTTTTGACGTACACATCTTAACCATGAATTTATGATTACAATTATCAAATCATTTAACATTATCTTTCGCCTCCTCCCTGTACTTACTGCCACTGCAGCACTGTGAAGATTAATTTCTGTGAACTTGTCCATTATCCTCAGGCCATGAAATTTTACTACCATGTAGACAATGATGTCAATGGCTGTACTTCCCCTTATGATTTGTTTATACTGGTGAACAGGTGCTGCCCTCCACCTACATGATGACTCCCTGGCAGACCTGACCTGGCTGGTGAAGAATGCCACCTACCGGCCGGACTGCTTTATGTGCCTGAACCGACAGGGGGCGCTGCAGTTCCACTTCTCCAGCAGCTGGCCGAAGCACGACCCCAACTGTAACTGGAGACGCGTCAATAACACCAGGATTGAGACGGGAAATGCCACCAAGTTTGATGCAGAGTATGATGATGTTCATCACTTTTACCTTACATGCACTAGTACTGGTACCGTAAATTAATTTACTCTTGCAGAGAGTTGGTTTCCAGGAAGGAGTGGAAAGAATTTTTTGGCGTGTTTTAATTTGTGGTGGCAATCACGCTGTAGCTCAAAAGTACAGGTATTCATTGTGTCATGACGTCTTTGGTAGAGGGACACCACGAAAACTGGGAAAATAAATCTACTGCAAACATTTCAAGAGTTACAGTACGTCTATTGCATTTGCTTTAATGTGTGTGGCATAAATGTGACAAGTTTGTCTTCATATTTCAGATTGGTGGCTAACATGTCTCTAGTCAGAGAGGACCCTAAGGTGGCATACCCAACTCAGGATGCAGTCTGGAAGGCATTTGAAGGAGCCCTCACCGTGGCTAATGGCCTTATATTCTACAGTCCAGTCTTCAAGGCTTACTTCTATGAGGCACTTAGGGAGTTCTATGAGGACAATGTGCAGTATATCGAGTTGAGAGGACTATTACCAAAAGTGAGTTAAAGTGTATGTTTGATAGTGAAAACGAGTTACTTTTTTTACCAAATAAAACAAACTTTTAGAGAAAAACAAGGTTTAGTATTCACTTTGCATTAGTAGGTTGTGGAATTCAATCCCTGGCCTAGTCATACCACAGACTTGAAAAAATGGTACATACTGCTTTCTCTGTTTAGCACTCAGTATTTGGAAAAGAGTACAGGAGTTGGACACTTTTTTTACTTTGACAATGTACATAATGAATAACTCTTGTTGTTGTGTGTTCAGATCTATGAGTTGGATGGTACCACTCATGATGAGGCGTGGGTGGTGGCAGCTTACAAAGAAGTCACAGAGCAGTTTGTGAAGGACCATCCAGACTTCTCAGGAGCAAAATTCATCTACTCAAGTATCAGGTAAGAGAAGTATCCTCTGATCTCAAGAAGTCTACCAGGTGTATGGTACCAAACCTACAAACAGAATAACTTTCAGCACCATGGACAGACACAGTCTGTCATCATGAGCAAAAGAAACTTTCCTTACATCAAATCCTATTCTAATGACCTGAATTTGTTTAGTAAGGATACCCCTACTATACTTTTGAAAACAATTTTCACTCAAGAAAATATACCTTTTTACTTTTTTAGGGACTGTTTTGAGATAATAGTGGATGAGGGTGAGCCCAAGAAAAATAGGTTTCTGGCATTCTGATCCATGTTTCTTGATTTTAATATTGTGTTTGATGACTATGCATTCAAAAAATAAGAAATATACAATTTATCATTTTTGTGTCTCTCTTCACTATTGTTGTTGTTGTTGTCGTTTCTAGTCTCAGCTCTTCTTTGTCTTCTTCTCCTCGGGTCACCATTCACTGCTACACTCTTCCCTTCCAGTACTCCCCACATGCCCTTCCACTGGGGGTCAGGGCTTCCAGGTCCTCCTTCGAGCAGGGTTCGGGCAGGAGGGGGCAGACAAGAAGATGTCTCATAGTCTGCTCCTGCCCACAGTCACCTGCAGCTCTTCTTTGTGAGATGTGATCACATCTTCTCTTCTTCTCTCATGTGCATTTATAATTACTCCTCCCTCTGTGCACTTCTGTTGTTGCTCTATAGGGCCTTTAATGAAAGTGACATTGCCAAAGATGTGGCGAAGGCTGTGAAGTTGCGAGCGATGTTCCCGTCGTTCTTCGCGGGGTACGACCTGGTTGGACAGGAGGACCCCGGTCACCCGCTGGTGTACTTCCTGGACACCCTCCTCCAGCCTGGTCAGCAGAACCCACCGGTCAACCTGCCGTACTTCTTCCATGCAGGAGAAACAGGTACATTGTAATATCAATTTTTTTTTAAATTTCATTTTATTTTTGCTTCATATATCATGCTTCGTATGGTCCATATATCTACATTATTAAGAAAACAACATACAAATGTAGCACATTGGCAGAACATACCGCACCTGTGCAAAACTCAAATTTTCACGGTTTTCATTGGATATTTGGTCAACGTTGCATCAGAATTTTGCCTGTTGCAGATGATATCTTTTCTGACATAACATTTGAAAACCACAGACAGGATGTTATAACCTTATATACGCAAATATGACCTTATATGATACGTTCTAATTTTACACATCATGTGTTTGACAGACTGGGAGGGGATGGCTGTGGATGACAACATACTGGACGCCATCCTGCTGAACACATCGCGTATCGGACACGGCTTCGCGCTCACAAAACATCCTGTCGCCATGGAGTTGGCAAGGAAGAAAGGCATTCCCATTGAGGTGTGCCCCATATCAAACCAGGTCAGTTTTGTGGTAACCGTAATTTGTACAGTAGAAACCAGTTAATTGCAAAAAAAAACTGCCAGCTGCACAAAGGATTGTGAAATCCCAAGTCGTATGATAGATCAATCCCCCTAGTGGCTCGTTATCAAACTGCAGATGGCACACATGTAAAGGTCTGGGGAAGCTAGACTCTGCATTGCCAGAACTTAGCTTTTGTGAATGTGTAGGGATCTTAAAGATATGAGAGAGAATGAGTTTACCAAGTCACCCTGCTCAAATATACAAAGGTAATACCTTCTCCATCTGTCATGCAGGTGTTAAAACTGGTTGACGACCTGCGGGACCATCCAGTGTCCTTCCTCCTGGCCCAAGGTCACCCTGTGGTCATCAGTGCAGATGACCCTTCCGTGTGGGGAGCCAGGGGTTTGTCCTACGACTTCTACCAGGCCTTCATGGCCATGGGTGGAGTCGATGCTGACCTCGCGTTCTTAAAGAAACTGGCGCTGGACTCTCTAAGGTATGTCTTAGTAACCTGATTTGTTACCTTCATGAAAATGGAAGTATTTTTTTGGGTGTGTCTGTCTGTGTGTATGTATGTGTTTCCAGATATTTGTGGTCAACATACATTGTAACTTATTTGGTTTGGTTGTGAGAAGTTTCTTGTTAATGTGACATGTACAATGACCTTTCTTAGTTGTTTTTTAAAGACAGTCTTGATTAATTAAACCCATCAATCACTGAAATTGTGTTTTAATTAGTAAAACATAATTGAAAGGAAGGGAGTGTTTCACACTACACAGAGTAGTACAAATGTTTTGTATTTGCATACAGGTATAGCAGTATGTCAGAGGACGAAAAGTCAAAGGCCATGGAGCTGTTCCAACAGAAGTGGAAATCGTTCCTCCATGATGTCCTTTCCAATGGCATCTGAAGGTCAAACAACACCTCAGCATCCCTAGGTGCAATGTCAGCCAAATGAAGGGGTTTGTAACAAACATAGTAAATGTATACAAGTGCGGGAATTTTTTTCTGCAACATATATTCTGATATGCCACCCTAGAGGTGCCATTATGTGTATTGTCATGAAAATGACAGTTCTCTGTACTACAATGTATGTGCAGTGACGTGTAGAACAAAAATATATCACGGAGAAAAATGACAAAAGAGATATTTTAGCTTTTACAATTGTATTGTTATGGTATAATATTAGGTCAATTTGTTGATGGAACCTGTAGAAATACTGACTATCGGAAAAGAGATATTATTATTTAAAATGGCATTATGGAGTCCCATGGAGTTTTAGATGAAGTACTAATAGTCTACCTTAAATATGTCTTTTTAACAAAGTTACTGACTGCTATGAATGACCAATGCAATACAAGTAGAGTGTAAAGAGTAATTTTAACAACATGGTGCAGGTTCACTTTTAAAAACATTCATGTATTGTAACTGATCTATTGTTTGAAATTACCACTATTGGTTCATGTTTTTGTGCACTAATGGCACTTGTGCAAAGAGCATTCCTGTATAACAAAAGAAAGATGTAACAAATATACAGTATGTAATATTGCATAGAGTCCTTCCTGATATTGTATATGGTGAAACTAACATTGTAAATGTGGAATACACTTTCCAAGTTAGCTTTGTGTTAATGTTATTCTTGTTACATGTAATGTTACTTACAGGATGGAAGTATTGTTTTGAGCTGTGTTGCTTAAGAGGAAGTTTGTATGTAATATATTATGTTTTATAAAACTTAAACTTTGTTGTAATTGTGGATTCAAAAAAGCATATTCCACTAACTTGGGAAGGCAGTGGGTAACAAAAAGGACATGGAGGGTTTAACGTTACATCACATATTCCCTTCCACATACATTCACCAAAATCTAAAACACTGAAGTCTGAAATCTCCTTTTTCTTTTGTTTCTTTTTTTTTTGTAGCGTGTAATTTGTCCTTAGTTTCCAAATAAACCGAGAAAGGTAAACATTTAGGTAGGGACTTACCAGCGTTATAGCAAGTTAAAGGCTGTCATAAACAAAGGAGTGAAAGGCAACAAGAGCAGCCATTGAAGTCAAACTGCTAAACAACTTTCACACAGTTCCGTTAATTTATTTCTTAAAGACTAAAGCAGATCTTTGACATGGGTACGTCTCCAATAGTGTGTGGTCAGGCGTGTGCGCTCTGTATCTTCTTCTGATGTCTTTCTACGGGTCACTTCAAAAGAACGCCCCAGAACGTATCTTTGTTGTGGTTTAAAAAAGCGTGACGTCAATTCACATCAAGGTCATGCCCTTACCCGTGTGTTTTTCCCCTGAAACTCAGATTGCACACCATCTGTGCTTGCTTTCTGCTGAAGTGTCTATATCAGTGTACATTTCTACTCTTACCCATAGTTGACCATCAAAATAGATTTCCAGAAGAGGACGCACTCTCGGTCAAGACGTTTTCTAACTGCTAACAAGTCGTGTTCTGTATCAGCCAAAGGTAAACAAACTGTCAAAAAAGATCTTCTAAATCTCTTCACAATCTTTTCGATCCAGTCAATCAGCTAACCAGTACAGTGAAATATCAAGAAGTTATCCACTCTTAAAGTACGATAGGTGTCCCTGATTCGGGACAAATTAGCACAAAGACTGACTTCAGACACCCACAGAGAGGAAATCAAAGATCCCTATCTGTTTATGTAAGAACCTGTCACAGTTTTCAAGTTACGACAGGTGTTTACCTAACGCCGTGATACATTCACGGCAGCTTGTTAAGAGTGGAAGCCGCCTGAAAGTGATACCTGTCCAACAACAGGCCCGTTAGAGAAGCATAAACAGAAATGGGCACATTAAACAGAAACAGGCCAGACATGGTTTGTGGTCGTACAGTTGACGACTGTACTCCTATTTTCTGCGTTAAAACGCTCCTGCGATGACCCTTATATCTGATTTCTGGCTGTTTTGTTTTACCCACAAGCGTACCCACTATAAATGCAGTCTTTAGTCAACGAAGCGGCCTTCTGATCGCGGATAGGCGGACGCCGCAAGTTTTAGTCCGACAGGCGGGAACACTGGCTACATTTCCGTGCGAAAGAGCGTGGGAAATCTAGTGTTTTAACGTCAACACGCCGTCTGGAGACACACCTGTGTGCGAAACTCGGTTGAGTTGAACGTCGTGAACGTGATGTAGAGGAGTGTTCGTGGGGATTCATTCAACCACTTCTATCAAAGCTGACTCCGTTCACTGAAATGGCGCGCCAAGAACTGTTCGACTTGGAAGTGCTGCGAGTCAACGACGACGACGATGAGACGTCGGGAAAAGTGCCCACCATCAAGGAGGCCCTGTCCCGGCGGCAGCTCAGCGCCGGCCGCACGGCGGACTACAGGCTTCCCGAGGTACCGGCTAGTCTCGGGACCGGGTACCAACTCAACATCCTCACGGCGATGAGAGTGAGAACTTTAGCCAAGAAGGCGGCTGAAAACTCCGAGTCTCTCGTCTTGTGGCACAAGTCGCCCATCTTGAGAAGAATTTACGCCAAGTCTGCTCCGCCGCCAGGCGAGCCTTTAAAGCAGTCAAACGCCTTTAAGAAAGCTGCTACAGAAAAGGCAGAAGAGGGAAGACAGTCCAGTATGACAGTGGATCACGAAATAAGACGAGTGTTCCGAGGATTTGATTTTCGTGACGTGGACGTCAGCAACTTACCAGTGGTGAAGGACATACTGAAAAATGGCGACTCAGAAATGCCGGACGCGAGTGACCACAGTGATACACCAGTGAAGAAACGATTAAGAAAGGACGCTAGATGTGATCATGAGCCACAGAAAAGACACCACGGTACAAACGGTCTTGACGACAAACTTGCGTCTTCATGTGCGCAAGACTGGGACTGGGAGACAACACGGAGTTACAAGACGGACAGGGTCTCAAAGTGGATAGCGAAACATTTCAGACATAGGAGTCACTGGGACGACGTATAAAATACTAGTACTTAACCTAGTTTACACGTGACTCATGGCTGAACCTGTGTATGTTATAATCAACTCTATTATAATTATATATTGTACTGTACATGTAGCCTCGTCTAAATACTCTAGTTACTTGGCGCGGTCACATTCGTCGTAGGGCGTCGCGTCGATCGTACGATTTTGGTGTCGTAACATTTTCAAGCAGGCTGTGACAGAACCAACCACCGACAAGGATCTCGACCAGCTTTCTCCGAAATATGACTGCTGAATTTTGTACGACACATGTACGACTATCCCAAGAATGCCTTACGATCGTATACGACAAATGCGACCGGGTCCTTAGTAACGATTACCAATCGAATAACTGACCACCATTATGTCAATAATCAGTGTAATGTAGCTAGGACGTTCTGCCGCCTCTCAGGCGAATTGTTATACAATAGTTACTAACCTACTTTATGGTTAAACTTGGAAAACTTGTTGCATGATACGATTCCACACGTGTGCATATATATTTGACAATATGATTTGCATATACAGTAGCCATTTGCCCGATCCCACAGAAGGCAATAATGAATACGATAGCAAATTGTGTAACTTTCTTTGATTTCAAAATTTTGTATTCAGCCAGTAATTACACTTTACATCGTACAGACATTTATCTCTTTGAATGTACTTATTTCACATTATCTAGCACATGACCATAAATTGTGTACCTTTTATGAATAAGGATCGTCAGGAATATACTAAAAATAAGTTCTCAAGCATGTGTTTCTTCATCCTTTCTACGTGGCGTACACAGATAGATATACGTAACCCTATCAGTCAGATTTGATTTTATTCTCCGCCACAGTCCACACACCTGCCGCTAGCTCTCCTGACACAAAGCAGTTACGTCACCATAGGGTCAAAGTTCAGCCGCAGGTGGGAGTTTATTTGAGGTCAGGTGTGATGAGGAAGCACATGACGATCACGACCTGGGCAGAGTCCTTCCGTGTTCTTGTAGAGGGGACAGAGTGTTAAAAGACTGGAGATCTGTGACACAACGCCATGATGTTGGGGATAACTGTGCTTCTGGCTATCTGTGCGGCATGTACTGCCCAGGTAAGTATTCCTTCGTCCACTGTTGTCTTGTGTCGTTCTTAAGATGACTCCACAAATTCTCATAGCCAGTTCTGATGGATGACCTTAGATGTATGTGACAAGAATCTCCCATCGTTGCTAGAAGTTTTTGAGTAAGAGACCTATGCCTCTCTGGGATCGTTGTTACGATGTTAAGCCATTTAGCTTGACGGCACATGACACACTGACTGTCACCTGAGTATAACACAACACCTATAACGTTAGAGGTTCATTACACATATAGTTTGAATGTTCATTCTACAGTTAAGCCTAAAGCTAAGCAATAACTCAATGTTATGTCGTCTCATCAAAGTTACACTCTACACTGAATTATTACAAAACCATAGCTTCAACTACCCAAGTCAGACCATTAAGGCGTAGGACAATCCCAGAACAGATCTGTCATCTTCATCCCATCCAGGTCCCTATCCCCCAGCGGCCCCCAGGGTTCGCCTACGCGGGAGGGATGGCCTCCGCGCCCGTACAGCTGGAGGCCTTCCTGGACCTGATGTGCCCGGACTCCAAGGCCGCCTACCCCGTCATGAAACAGGTGGCCACGGCATACGGGAGCAGCACACTCCGGTTCACGGCACACATGTTCCCGCTTCCCTACCACAGGACGGCCTTCATCTCCGCACAGGTTAGTCCCGACTTACCGACAGACAAATCTCTTGCCTCGTCTTCTTGTCCTCTGTACATGCATTGGAAGAAATGTATTGGAAGAAATGTATTGGAACAAATTGTACCTACAAATGGAACTATCTACAGTCATACAGTAGCCTGGGCGCCATCCTGCAGCTGGTTAGTTTGGATAGCGACTGTCGGAGCGGATGTAAACTAGGTAGGACACGTACCCAGGCTATATCTACCGTGGAAACGTTGGACGAATCGTCTGATGAGAAACCTTCACGGCCAAGTTCGTCTTTTCTACACGCCAAGTGCATTTGATTTAATGTTAGAATCCCTTCGTAGCGTAGCTTTATCTCGCCATATTATTAGCATCTTTGAAACTTTCTATGGCTGTCGTTAAGGGACCGATTGGCTTGCAAGTACGTGTACTAGTGTATCGAAGTTCCGACGAGAATGTACACGGAACAGTTTTGTTAAGGATATACTTTGTCGGTATCCGATGTAACCAAGTGTATCCACTTGTAGGGAACGTTCGTTGCTGCCGAGGCGGGGTCTGACTTGGTGTGGAAGTGGCTGGACACCATCTTTGAGCAGCAGGAGGAATACAAAATCCCCAAAACCAACGACATGTCGGACACGCAGATCATCAAGTCAGTTTTCAAGTTTTCTCTACAGTCTGCATCATAAAACTCTTGTGGACCTTTCTAATTAGATTTCTTCCTTTTTAAAAACACCCACAGGCTAGGCTTTTTTTAAAGTAAACGTTTTGTTCCAACGCAAGAGATTGTTCTCACCTAGAGGTTTCGGCCAGTCACTCTGGTCTTCTTCAATAGACTCTCTCTCAATATTATTTCCTAAAAAGTTATAACAGATATCATTATCATGATGTTTATGAAATTGTCTTCATTCGTGCAGGAAGCTGGCCATGGTAGCAGAGTCTATGGGTATCTCCTCTAAAAACTTCACCATGCAAGTGAACAACGATGAGGACATGGTGTACGAGAATGCGAGAGTCGCCTGGAAGTACGGCTGTATTCGTGAGTATTGGCGGTTCATTCCGGATATTACGACACTGACAGGAAGTGAGGTCAGGGGTCCCAGAAAACGTTATCTTATGTCCTGTCTTGAATACTGTGCTACTAGTATATCATCTCTCTTGCTTTGTTGAAGCAAGTGGTAAAGTGTATATAGACATAATCAGCAAGAAATTCAGTTATAAGTAAAACAAGAAATTCACAATACAAAAATATTTCACAGAGGTATGAGAGCTTCAATTTCTTGTTTTAAGTGAGACTCCAACACTTTGCTATGCATAACTCAACAGAATATGGACTGACTCTCATCACTACTGGGTGTGTAGCTAACTGATGTTGTACCACACCTTACAGGTGGTGTAGCCGGTACGCCATGGTTCCTCCTGAACGGAGTTCCTGTTAACGCCAGCCCAAACTGGACTGTGGCGCAGTGGAAGCAGATCATCGACTCCCTGCTTAAACAACAGGGCGTTTTTGTGAAGGTGAGACATTCTCACAAGCAAACAAAAAGTGGTCCATTAATGATTAAATACATCATTCTACCAGGTATTATTACTCTGTATATCCTCTTGAAAATCTTCTTTAGGCCACACCAATTTAATTTCTTGGTTAATGGATTTTTCCAGAAAAATAATGGAGCGGGCGGGCGAAAAAAAAATAAAAAATAAAAACAGGCCTAGGCATCCTATTATGGCCCAAAATGATAGGAGCCATGAAGTCAACACACCAGGCTGATTCAAAATTTAAACAATGAATTTTTAACTTTTAATGATACCATTGCATTGAAAGATGGAATAACTGTAACAACTAGGATGAAAAGGACTATTATCAACTGTTCAGGGCAAAATATGAGCATTTTGCAGTTGATTCTGAATTTTTATTTTTTTTTTTTTGCAAATCAGAAAAAAATGAAGCGGGCAAATCCGTTAACCAAGAAATCAAATTGGTGTGGCCTTATCAGAGGATGCGTCCTCATGCCGGTTGCAATACTAGTAAATATTACTGTTTTAATTTGTTGGAGTTTTCCATGTTGGATGAAAGGGGTGGCAAAACAGGTGCAATACACTTTGATCTTCTAGGTGGCGCCCCAGTCAAGTACCATGTAACGTTACATTTAGTAGCTTCTTCAATGTGTATTTCAGGAGACCATGGAGGGATCCTCCAACTGCCCGCTCCTTCAGAAAGAGTGCAACTACCTGCCGGGAAAGTATGAGTGCTGCACTAAGGGGGAAGCATGTATTCCCAACGTCGGTTGTAGGTGCTAATGAGAACTTAAAACATCTCCGCCTTACGTAAATGCTTGGACAATATGTAGATTTGACGGAAACGTAAAATATACACCTCACACTAAATCTAATGGTTGACAATGTTACATTTGATTGCTGCTGCTACTTTCTTGCATTAGAATCCTTATGGTTTGCAGGTACAAAAGCCACTATGTCCAAACTAAAGTGTACTAGTCCAGTAGAACTTAAATGCTGATCAAATGAAAATGTTTGTCAGTCTAAAAGTGCAAAATGTAACTATCATTTATAGTTGTTGGCTTCAACATATATACTTTCAATTGTAAAAAAATAATTTGCGGCAAACAAGATCAATCATAATATTGTATCGACTTGAATATGTGCAATGTGTTACTGTGTGCTTCATATAAATTTCTGAAAATAAAGCAACAAGAAGCTTTTGAGATTTCTCTTGGAATTCTTTATGTAACACTTGAAACATTTCAAACCATTATAATTAGAGACCCACCAGTCATCATGTACAAGAACGAGGTACGACAACAATTAGTATTAAGGGCAAGAAGCTCCTCTAGTCAGTTCACAAAGTCAAGCAAAATACCAAAGATCAGCAAAAATGCTTCCGCCCCTGAGGGGTCGCCAAAAAACACAGAATGATTAAGCATGTAACCTACTGAGGTACATTTGTAGCAAACGTGTAACATGAAGTATGATGCTCAAATTTGCATATCCTTTGACAACATCACTTCAGCTGGTGAAATAGGACAACAAGCTTAAGGGTCTGTAACCAGATTTGAAGAAAAATGAACCCATTGGTGAGAATATTCTATTCATCAATACAATTTATCCCATTGTAATCTATTGTCAAGTACAAGACATCACACCAGTACAGTGATATATTACTACAGTACATAGTATCGTGGAGCTCTTAGTTTACCCTTTCTGTGAGAGAACCATCTTAGCAAAGACTGGATGTGTCCAGGAGACTCCTGGAGGGTAGTACCTAAGTAAGAAGTAACCCCCAAACCCACACTAGTCCAACCTTTACCCAATACTGAACGCATTGGCTCAAAAATTTCTGTACAGCCTTTAAAAAAAATTGCATCGCCTGACTGTGCTTTTCAGATTTACAGGACTTTTATCAAGGCACTTGGTGTACAAGGAATAAAATTATGCATAACAGACTGTGAATGCTTCAAAATTCACTTTTGAAAAATAAAATTTGCTCTTTTGCTGAAATATTCTGGTAACAATATTGATTTCTTACGAGGAAAGATTGACATTCTGTGACCACCTTTCCCCATATCTACTTGGTTTTAAACTTTTCAGTAACAATGCTATCACTGTAACTATGGTGATAATCATTTACAGTGGCACTCTGGCTTCAAAGACAAAAATTCAGACTTTGGCTTTAGGTAAATCAAATACAATCCCCTGTTCGGATAAATACATTGACAACCATGTCTTTGGAGATAAACACAGTTTAAAACACTGTACAAATCGCCATAGTGCAAGCAAACACTACAACCTACCGGCTTCTTTATCAATTTAAGGCACAAACATCTTTTGCAGCATAATTGGATGAATCATCACTGTCCAATCAGATCACACCTAGGTTTGACCAATCATGTGACTGACTAGCTCATTGCTATGGCAACAATAGCAGGTAGACAGATTTGAATGGAGTGAATTCAATTTGATGAATGTACTTTGGAATTAATTCTTTTCTTACTGTTACATACTTTAAGATAATACGAGTTGGCATATGGGCTAATAGCACGAATGTGTATGACTACTTCTGTCAATGTTTCATTTGCATATCCATAGTTAAGAATTTGCACATAAAATAAGAGAAACCAACCATCTCATAAAAATGCTACACAACTGATTTCATGATATAACATGTAACTTTAACTAGGTCTCTAATTCCTGTTACATTTGCTAAAACGTACTGCGACTGTCACAGGATTTTACCTTTTTTGGAATATCATTTTCACGTATCTTAGAGCTCTCAGAAACACACATAACAACATACACAAGAAATGATTACATGTACAGGTACAAAGCACATATTACATACAAATACAATTTACAAGGTTAGAGTCATGATTTCTACCCTGTTCAGTCATGATTGTTCCTGGGATTCACACCGTTAGAACTGCTAGAAATCCAATACAGCTTAAACCATGAGTAAAGCCTTGTCTAAAATAACTAATGCTTTACGTATGATTTAAGGTATACTTAACCTTATCCCTGCTGCATTAGCCATCTGGTGCTAAATGTGTACAGGTTACAGCATTAGGCAGCAGGAAGAAGGTTAAATATCAGATTTTTTGCAGTGTGTAGAGTCAACAGGTTCCATGTAACACTGCAAACACTGGAAGGAAAAACGGCCGCAGGCAACCATCCTTTTCAAGGTCAACCGACAACCGCTGAAGGTCATGACTTGAAGACGTGAACTGCTCGGACCACGTACTGTCGGCAGATGGGGCATTCGTTCATCTGTCGGCCACACTTGGTACAGGTGACCATGTGTCCACACTCCAGGAGTACACAGTCTATGGCAGCGTCCATACAGATCTTACACAGGCTGTCTTCAGGGACAGAACTCTCACCATCCATCCCCTCACCTGGAACAGTTCAGATACAGCAGTTAGATGACTTATCCTTTAGCACACTGAAGCAGTCACTTAGGGAGCAGGGAGGTTAAACTTAAACCAAACTGCACTTGAAAAATAGTGAAATTAGCTGAAACAACATTGGCAACTTTCAGCTATTATGATCACAATTTTGCATTAAAAAATTCACAGCCAAATACAAACTGTGTGTTCATTTCAGCTTGTATGCAAATTTGTAAGAGTTAGCACAGTAAATAAGTGATGATTCTAAACTTTAGATTTACATCATTTGCAAAAATCTACGGCTGACATAGCCACAAATATTGGACAGTTCAAATGCCTGTAAATGCATGAACATATTGCTCTAGTGTTATCCAGTCTTTTCCTTTGCAGTGTTGAACAAGCACTGAAGATGGATCTGACAACTTTTGTAAGACCACACACAAAGACAGGCGCATTCTGTATCCCTTACCCTCTGTGGTTTCCGTGGGATTGTTCTGTCTGGACTTGTACAGTCTCTTCACCCTCTCCACTAGCTCTTCCTTCTCCACACAGCCTTTGAAGTCTACAAAGTTTGCCGATAGAATCTCCTTCAGTTGTCTGACCGTCAGATCTTCCACCTCGTCTACGCCGCTGAGGTCCGTTAGTGAAGTACGTCTCTTTGGCTGGCTGGGCTGTTGGCAGGAAGAAGATAACATAAAAATGTTGGACACCAGACTCCTTCATAACAAAGTAACCAAGAAACAGAGATTTCAGACTCTCTGGATGTGTTTTGGGTTTTCGTAAATGTAACTGTGGGATATAGGACTGTATTATGTAATTTTAATCAGGGATTACACCACTTCCTGAATTTCTCCATATCCTGCCTGGCACAGACCTGACCTCCCTATCAATCAACTGTCGAAATCACCTCCCACCCACCTGGCAACTGACTAGGACAGACAGAGAGACAAACTCACGTCCCAGCCACCCAAAACAATACATCCATAACGTTTTGATTAAAAAAAAAAACAGAGATTTTGATATTTTGACTTGACATTCTTGACTTACTGGAGCTTCTTCATTTGAAGCTGTACTGCTTGGTTCACTGTCTTCTCTGTCTGGGAACACGTGACGCTGCATTTCCTCCTGAAGCCGCCGGAGGGTCTCGGTGAGCTGCTCCTCTGCCCCGGGGGTTGCTGATGTGTATGTGGTGGACGTGTGAGTGGAGTATGAGGATGAACTGAAGTTGGTGTTGTTGTCACCAGGCATGGCGTTCTCGGCAGCTCTTCTGCGTTCCTGTAGAAAGAGTTGATAGTTGCAGATTAAACTTGCCGGTATACTGTACATGTAAATCTACAAACTTTTGTTTTATGTTTGTGTTATTTTCACCCAGACCACTCCACTGTAAATTCATGACACCCAATTATGGGTTTCCAACGAATTCATTGTTTTAACCTCAGATTTGAAACACTGCAACAATCTCCTTTTCCCTTCTACCACAAAATAAAAACAACTCAAAAAGTAAATGAATTTGCAGTACTGTACACAAAAATTTGCAGTACACAGTAAAATATCCTAACCAACACACCTCTGCATGAGCGCGTTGTTCCTCCGCTGTTCTTCTTGTCGTCTCATTGGCCGAATGCCTCATGATCAACTCTACCAACTCGTCCTTCTCCGTACACATGTCAGACGGAATGTGTTTCGTGCTCAGGAACTGCCGCAGGTCCTTCACGCGCAGGCGTCGGAGCTCGCTACGGTCCATCGGGTTGAGGGAGAAGACCCGACATCGGTTGCAGCGCCGGCGGTCCCGCGTTCTGTCCGCCTCGCTGAGTAGACAGTTGTCACAGTAGAGGCTGTGGCACTGGTAACATTTGTACTGGAACACAGGGCAGACATGTTAGCTTTGCTTATAGTTATCACTGATTGGGATGTCTCACCAGCACACCTGCATTTTGGATTATTTCTAAGGTTTGTGTACATGCTAGTCTGGATATACATGTAGTAGGTTGACAGTATTTTCATAGGGGAAGACTGACAGGCAGAATGACAGGTCAAAAGGTCAGACACAGGAAATGGGTCAACTTGAAGGTTCAAAATCTGTCAGGGAGCCAGTAGAAACTATACCAATAGGCATGATAGACATGATAGGTGGACATGGGGAATTCAGGAAGCTAAGGATTGCATGAGTAACCCTTCAACCAAGGACGTTATATAGTATAATATATATATGTCCTTGCTCCAACCTTGCAATTTCTGTACTAACCCCAATTTAAGTATGTCACACCATTTCCTGGGTAGTAAAAACCCAAACTACTTCCCAGAACTTTTAAATCTCCAATTTCTTGTTATAAATATTTCAGAATCAGATTTTTGTTTTTCATGTTACATTAGCTCTAGGGTGCAATACCGAAAGCTTTTGAATCCCAAAGTATGATACTACTTTGCCCGATCAGTTTAATATGAGGTCATCCGGCTTATTTTATGAATATTTTATGATCAGCCAACAAAAGAAACGGCTGCTATTCAGGGAAGCATGGGATTTGGCAGTAATGCAGTCTGGCAAGACACGCAATTAGCAACCTACACACTCAACAAAGACAGTATGATCTACTGCCAGAAACACCTGTCACTACAGTCCTGTCTGGAACACCTGACTGGGCATAAAAATTCAGTCCACTTCTGTATAAATGATTGTAAGTTGTAGGATGCCTTTCTTGTCTGTTATGACTGTTTTGAGAGTGGCATTGACATTTATTTGTTTATATTGAGATATAACCACATTTGTGGAAGGATTGACACAACAGGTGACAATCACATTTTCTTTCGATAAGTGTGGTGGGATCTTCAACAAGCTCGAGGTGTGACTGTCCTTATACAGGACCTCTACTAGTACTAGTAGTGTACCAGTGGTAGTTTTACATCCCATCTGGGAGGACGTCCCTAACTGAAGCTAGATACTCATTTTCTACCAAGTGTGCGGAAATAGGCCTTTCCTAAGAGCACAACACTAGGACATGCCAGGGATTCGAACCCAGAACCTCCAGATTCTAACCAAGTCAACAACCCTAACCAGGAGACCACCTTGCCACCCACATAATACCCACTCTATAATACATTCACCACTTCCCTCCTGTTTCCAAAACTACTGCAGTACCACCTGGAAAACCTGCTGTTAAACAAACGTTCAGCTTGGTGTGTTTCTATTGACACGGAGGGTGAAATTACGGCATGTATGTTATGTGACCGACCTCGGTCGTCAAGGTGAACTAGTCTTTACCAAACAATAAACTAATTATGGCCTCACCCCGAACTAACCCTAGCATAAATATACTTCCTATTTTCTTGGAAAACATTGAGTCGAACCCGGAGCTTACTGATATATAACCAGGTCCTGTTTACTCAAGGTAAGACAAATCCTCAATGGTAAAGCATTACGTGGAAAGAGTGTGGAAAGGACAATATGTAACTAACACTACAAAACTCTGTGCCTCGCTGAATAAAAACACCCACTGGAATGGTGCCAAACTGGCCATTAGTGGTCTGTGAATTGTAGTTTCCAGTGAAGCTTTCATCCAAGTTGTCCAATCTACAATATCTATGATATCAATACAGGTACAAAACAAGGTACATGAAAACATGAATGTGTAATTCCAACTTTAGTATATAAAAGGACAAGAAGAACCAGCCATCACCATACAAAAGGTCCTTTTGGGCATAATTTTCAGGCAAGGTTTGATCCATTACCAATGATTTGTATCAATAATGCCCATGTGAGATGGGCAAAACATGACACATGGCCTTTCCCGGAGCTCTGCAGCTGTAAATTGTAATCATGAGTTGTATAAATAGGACACACACATCATACATATGGTGTTTTCATGATAAAACCTGCCACAACTACCAAACAAATCTTAGCAGCACATACATGTAAATATATGCATACAACACTATCCAAACACATGTGTATGTAATATGATTGCCAGGTGTTACTGTATCTCGTGCCAGATGTAAGCACATGAATGTTTTTTATCTCATTTTTCATATCGATAATCAATTTAGGCCTGTGGCAAACTTTGTGCAAGTACATGAAACATTGCGTCACATGGAGAAAGCTTATATAACTTCCTTATTGCTGCTTCAATGGTTAAAAAACCTAACTGCTTTACAACACAAAAGAAATCTAACACCAGTTACTCCAGATACACATCCATAGCTGCTTTATTTATTTATCTATCAACGAAGAACAAAGCTCTTACCTTTCGTCTTAGAATATGGAAGCTACGACCACAATCTGTACACGGCATTTTGTCTCTACACTCTACACTACATTTGTACTTGTGTTTTTCACGGCACTAGATTGTACTTTGTACCGACAGTGGCAATGAGCAATATGGACTCTACTATGTATGGTGGGGGGGAGAGTTTCGTCTTGGTCATTCTATTTCCACCACACATTTGTTTAACTAAGCCAACAAAAAGGAATCCAACGTACTGTTTCTTCTATAAACATTATCACTTGCACAGTGAAAACACGGTTTAAAAGGCCTTTGAGCACACCCAAAATTGCAAAGTCATTCTTCACTCACTAGGTTTCAAGTGGTACAATCTAATTATATTGACAGAGGGGGGGTTGGGAGAAACCAACATTCAAGGAAGGGGTGGCCAATGATGACTAATAAAACATTTCCTTTTCTTCTTCATGTCCGTTTTCTGATAATCAGATGAACAAACCGTTTTGTTGACAAATAAAATGCAAATAAAATGAAGAGAACAGCATTCAATTTTACAACTAATTGTAATATTTTCCCTTTCCTTGACTCTGACCCCTTTTCCCAGCCTGTTGAATAATTCAGAGATAATTTGAAACCACATGACAGTCGTCAACCATGCAAACACTTGTATGAAGCATGCTGGGAAGGGTGGGAACATTTGATCTCCCCTGGGAACAGGCTAAAGATAGTTGTCATGATCAGCTGGGTTCAGGCAAGGTCAATGGAGCACACTGCATGTCATCACTACTGTGAATCATTTAAAGTTTGCTGAAACTTTTGGAAATGCGGTGCAACTGGGAAAGAAGGCATTCACAGTACAGAATACACAATACACAATACAGCAGTATTAGTTATACGGCAGAGTACATGATTTCAGCTAGAGTGATGGTTGGCTGTGTCTGTATTAAAGTTTTGTAGTTTTCAACAGTCTCAAGTTGACCACATTTCCCTTTGTCTTACCTTATGACCTGTAATTCAGCCTGTCAATCTTCCATCACCCTCCTGCTATCAACAACCTATTCTATCCTGGCAAACATACACACAAACCAACAGCTCAGCCACCCAAAACAAGACACCCATAGATTGTACCAGATTGAAGCTCCTTGATTGTACCCATAAGTAATGATGTACATGTACCTTTTTCCTAGTGGTTGTGAAGTTTAGCGTACAGTTTTCACATCTCCCTGGCGTTACATCCTCCCTGCTCCTGCTGCCCGGTCGCTGATTGGACGCTGACGTGCCGGGGTGAGCGCCGGTTTGCGGCGTGGCCGAGCGGCCTGGGTAGAAGCCGTTGGAACGGCCGCCAGACATAAACTCAGGCGGCATATTGTCTGCTTTAATCACCACAGCACCCATGTTCACAACTCTTGGAGGTCGGGAGGTCAAGAAAGAAAGACTTGTGGGTAAAATCCCTGTTGAAGTTGAAGCTTGTAGGCTGTGCCTTATGTATAGATCTTTACATGCTGATATTTTTGCCTGCAAAGAGATCAAAGAAGATTGTCAACGGTTTGCTATTTTTTTAAAGCAAACTTTATACATGTGTTCACTACAGGAAGAGAGATTATGCTACAACAAACATGAATGGTAGCCTTTATTCATAAAACATTTATGAGTCTTGCAGGACTATGATTTAGTGCAATTTGTAATGTAGAACATAATTATCATTTATTTTTTAGAATTTAGATGTTTGTTTTGAAGCTAGTCTGCTTTTCTTTGCCACTGTAACAGTTAAACCCTTTCTTAAGAGTAGTAATATGATATTCCAACATTTTTGTGTAAACACTAAAAGACCCAATAGCAGCTGCTTGTCTCCATAGCAACTGCCATTTGTCATTGTAACAATGGTTACGCCTACAGTCCACCCAGTTAGTGACAAATCCTTTGGGCTTAGTGACAAGCCCACCACATGTAAAAAACTGGTTGCCCTTAGCAACTCCTAATGTCTCCATGGCTACTTCCATTTTGTTGCTGTAACCATGGTTAAACCAAGGACATTAAATAGGATAAAATGTCCTTGGTTACACCTATACATGTAGTCCACCCAGTCCATTAGAGCCTTAGTGATAAGCCCTAAATGGCATTTACCGAGAACAATCACATTAACAACACAGTTTTTTGCCATCTGCAAAACCTGCAATTCAACTGCCATTCCTCAGAATTGTTGCTGGCTATATTACACCGAACGACTTGCTACACCTAATGATGATGCCCCAACAGTAATTGGTCGCAGCAAGTTCCAGTCTACATCTACGATAGTGACCAGACTCTTCTAACACCTTGACACTGGTCACTGGTTTTCCATGTTTGATAAGTTTATTACCACACTGTGACTGTATATGTAACTTACTTTATCTTATCTTATCTTAATCACAGTAGATACTTTACTTTTACTTGATTATATAAACTGACACATTGCTATGGATCTGTAGGATTGTTTTTATTCTGCCCCAAGATGCAGTCTGGGTTTTAGAATTTGAGAGTTCTGTAACAGATGGTGTTCAAGTTCAACTACTAACGTTAGTATGCAAATCCTAACTCGAGTAGATGATTGCATATCACTTATCAAACTAACATATTAAAACTTAAAACGATGTAACTTAACATAGTTCTGTCTACCATTCAGTGGAACACAACAATTGCCCCTTATTCTGAGACACAGTCGTGACACGTAGCAACTCTTGTGTCTTTGCTGACAAGAAAAATGTCACGATTATTTTTCTCCTCGAAGTCTTTTACACAAATAGGCGGCGATTCTTCGTAAAAATCAGCCAACAGCGACATCATTCCCTCGGTAGTCTATTAGCTCAGATATCAAAGAACTGGAGAATATCGTCAAATCACGCAAGATGTGAACGACTGACCTGATCTGGACCACAGACCGGCGACAGGGGAGTTTTCCTGTTGCTTCTCACCTGAGGGCCATCTTGAAACGAGAGATTACTGTGGAGGTGGTTGTATGACGTCACTGAGCTCTCTGTCCCAGCTAAAACTAAGAATCAATGAAGGTATCACAAATGTCCTGGACAAAAAGGTGCGGTGTTGATACATCCATAACGATTTTTTACAATATTTCTGCCTTCGTTTCATTTCGTACACCTATCTTCTGGGATTTAAATGCAGCAGTTGCTACAGAAAAGGATTAGAACGGGGAACGAGAGTATTGACGCAAGTTGATTGACCGCTCCTAAACATAAAAATGATAGATTTGTAAGTTGTTTTCAACATAAATACCCAATGTATACAAGTATTTCTTCATAAATTTATTTAAAGCTATTTGTAGGTGTTATCATTTTGCCAAAAAGGGGTCAAATTAGTGAGAAAAGTGATGAATGACATTTGCGTTTCTTGGCGCTCGTTGCTTCCTCAACACGAGCACACAAACACAAAGATGGCGTCTACAGGAGACAGTGATCTGCTCAACTTGAAGATTTCCATCGATGCCGACGAACTGTCGGACATGGAAGAAGATGTTCCTGTTGAAGAGGACACAGAGAAGCCGGAGGGATCATCTGGAGACGGTCCTGAAGCTCCCCATGTCGAAATTAAGCGTTCATTAGAAGGCAGAGTGTTGGTGCGTGTCTGTGTTTTTTTTGCAAGCACAGTTCCCTTTTCTAAAACCTCCTTGCATCTCGTATCGCATATTCCTACAAAACAGTAACCTAGTCTTGTATGCTATGATGAAGAATTTATTGAAGATTGGATATTATGAAAGTAAAACACTGATATAAACTCTTAAGCTCGACTTCTTCTTGACAGTAAGAAATAAATCTTGTGTGCTTGTACATGCCAGTGTACTGTGTAGTAACATGCCATAATTTTATTATGTCAAGATTATTTTGTGATAAGCCATACTAGCACATACTAGAATTTGAATGTTGAGATCTTTTAAAAAATACGTGTATGTATTCCTGTCTATGCAGCCTAATCTGGGAGAAAGAAAGTATGAAAACAAGGCTGGTGACTTCATTACAGGCATCGACATCACTGATCCGGTAAGGGTCATCCATGAGTTTTATATGTGTGTAGCAGACGGTCATAAATCGGTTGTACGTTACTGTTCCACAAACATACAACCAACTTAGAACTATCAAATTTATTGGACAGGACCAGCTGTTTGTTGTTCAAACAGACAGTGCTGTTCCAAAGGCTTGGAATAAACCACTTAAGTTGTCTATCGGGTGAAACGTTTGGACATGTCTCCATTTGTGTCCTCCCTTCTCATAACATGTGTATCTACTGTCTAGCGGGAGTTCATACTATTAATTTTTGGTCTACCAAAGAAATCAGTGGGTGGTGTTGTTTCCTCAGGCATCCCTCACTCCCTTTCTACTCCTACTACAAAGACTCACAGTTCTAACTATGAAATGGCTTATTAAAAAATACCACCATTGTGCAATTTGTGTGCTGTCATTAAAAAAATCAGATATAAAAATTTCTTCTGATTATTGTCTTCTTAACTTTCAGGAATTTCTGGAGAAGAGACAACAGCGGGCGAAGCGGTTTGGTGTTACCCCACCTGCAGAGGAAGAGGCCTTTGCAAAAAGGTGATAACAGTGATCTTGATTTTACCCAACTGCATCATATGCATCTATGGTACTGTTGCATATATTTTACAAGTAGTGAACATTTGCTTAAACTATGGTTGTTGCAATTAAGATGTGCCTTCTGATGTGCCCTCTTAGGTTGGAGTTGCTGAGAGAGGAATTAAAGGAAGGTGAGTTTTCGAAGTATCCTTAGTCATTCTCAGGGTAAAGGATAGGGAGGGAATCATTTTGTGTTCATACATTTCACCTCAGAAACCTGTGTGTGTCTTTCCTTCCCTTCCTATTCTAACAGTGTTGACGTGTGTTTCATCCTTGCAGCATCAGAGGCAGAGTGGGGTATCCGCCCCGAGGCCCTGCATGTAGAAGGAGTGGATGACCTGAACACTCAGCAGGTGTTCGACTACTTCAAGCAGTTTGCTCCTGGCTCCATAGAGTGGATCAACGACACCTCATGTAAGTACAGGAACTTCATTTAACCACAAGGTACCAGTTAATGACTACCCTATACAGGACACAAGGTGGTCAAACCTGTGCAAGTGACCACCTTGCCCACTACTTTTGGTGGTCTATTACATGATTTTGCCAAGCCTATTGACACAAGTTTAATTAATCTTATCTATTGTAGCCACCTGTCACACAGACCAGATTTTATCGGTATTACAACTGGTCTTGTTGGGAAGGTTTGACTGTATATATGGTTCAAATGTTCATGTTCTAATGTCAGTATTGTGTTTTGTCTCAGGCAATGTGGTATGGCTGGATCCTAACACAGCAGCCAGGGCCATACTGTACTACACAGACTCCAGTAAAATAGAAGATTCTACCAGTAAGGACTCTTCAACAGAAGAAACAAAGAAGGAGGAAGAAGTCCCCAAAACTGAAGAGAAAATGGAGGAGAGTAGTGTTGTCACAGGTTAGTATGTACATCTTTAATTCTAACCCTTTCCAGTAGTTACATGTTATAAGCCAGAGGTAATATTCCTGGTATTGAAAAACATTATTATGGAAAGAAAAACATACTGTAAATTTGTTTACTTTTGCAGTGCCTTATTTCATGAGATTTTGCTGTGTTATAAATTTGCAGTTAAACAATTTCTGTAGTACAGTAGTAATACAGGGGAGGCATATACACATTTGAGAAAAATTAAAAAATAGAACCACCCTGAAAGTTTCCAGATTTACAGTAACTGACTTTGAACTTCCAGAAGAGGAAGATGATGATGAGTTGAACCTGATGAGTGATGATGAACTAGAGGAGAGAGAGACCAGGGGGAAGGAAACACAGACCAAATCTACAGAGGAGGACAAGACAGAGGGAGTAAAGGTGAGATGATACAGCATAGGTGATGTCATTTCTACTATCTGTCAATGGTGGTGTCAAATGGCCGAGTTACTATGCTAGTGGACATGAGATCAAGTTATTGCTGGTTCAACACTCCTGACTAGCTAGGTTATGTGTCCTTGGGAAAGGCACTTAAAACGACTTTCCTCACACAACCCATGTGTAAAATGGGTGCCTGATTTCGGCTGGGGAGGTAAAAGGCAGTGGAAGGAGAGGGATAGGCTCTGCCTTCCAATTCTGTTCCCTAGACACAGTGGAGTAACAACCAACTGTCTCTACAGCCTGAAAAAGGCTATAGGACTACCTTTTCCTTTACATTTTACCAATGCCCATGAAATGGGAATGTATTTAAATGTCTTGTGAAAAAGTAACATTCTGTAATCAAATTGTTTCATATAATTTTTATAACCTGAAAATTTTCTTTAGGTCAAAACAGAGGACGAACCCATGGAGGAGCAGACTACAGGGTCTCCCAAAGGGTCAGAGGTCGACATACCTTCCAAGTTTAACCTGAGAGAGGCCAAGCCTGCCATTCCATGTGAAAGAGCTAGGAGGCTCTTCATCCGATACGCAACTAATGGTAACATCGTATGCTTATGGTTTTCACATTATGATAAACCGTGTGGATTGTATTTGTAATGCAATCCAGCATTTTAAAGGTAGCTTTAAAAATTGTTTGACAGCAAAAAGTGACTCAGTTAGTATAATCATGTACTGTACCTGGTAATTGTAAGGTAATGTTGGAACTCAGGGTTTGATGTGCTTTGATTTCCTTTCATCACAGACGACAAGAAGGCACGAGGGGCCCAGAGGAAAAGCAAATTTTACATGAAGTACGGAAACCCCAACTTTGGTGGCATGAAGGGAATAATCTCAGAATCATGGTGAGTGTGTTTAGCAATAAAGAAATCTTTAATGACACAGCAAAAGTACAGCAATACCTATTCACAAAATATTGGATGCAAATGAACTTACATAGAAACAAGTTGATGCATATGTCATCAACTAGCATACATACATTTAGATAAATCAACATGTTAGCTTTAGACAGTGTTTAGAGTTAGATGTTCAAGGGTTAGGTGTAACAAGTCGCTTGGTGTAATGTAGCCAGCTGCCGCCACGCGAAGGGCGGCTATACCGGCTATACAGATTCAGATGTTAAGTTTAAGATATTATTTACACTATTGGTTCTATGTACCTATTTGTACACAGTAAGGGTTATCTCCTCCTACAATGTAATTGAATTCAATAAATGAATTTACAGTTTACTGTGAAGGCAAGATCACTAAGGCGGCACTGATATTTGCCTCATTGCATATTTTTGCCATCTGTATAAAGGAGGAGACGATACAAAGAAAAGAAGAGGAAAGCGATCATCTCACAGTACCGAAAGCAGAGGTCAGGCGGGAAGTACAACGACCCAGACGGGGGAGACGGAGGTGAGGAGGAGGAGGAAGTGGAGGAGCCTGAGAACGACTGGGAGACCGAGCTGGAGCTGTACAGGCAGGAGCAGGAAAGGAGGCTACTGGTGAGCAGCGCCCCCTGACTGTTTTGTAAATCACTGCAGGGAACTTTCAGATGCATGTTGTAGTTGTGAAGCAGGAAAGTAGTGTGTGTTGCAAGTCCTCCATGCACAAGGTATCTGGTGTTGGAGTAGGTTGATAGCACATAGGTAGGGGAAGATTAACAGGCAAAATGACAGGTCAAGGTCAGACACTGGAATTTGGGTAATATGGAAGATCACACCCCCCCCCCCAAAAAAACTTTTCAGAAGTCTGATACATGTATCTCTGATTTCTTGTTATTCTAGAAAGAAGCGTTGCAAACTCAGGAAAAACAGAGACCAAGCAGACCACCACAGAAGAAACAGAAGGTGTCGAACGTTCAGGCGTACCCAGGGTCGGAGTCGGAACCTGGGTCAGAATCTGGCTCGGACAGCGACGGCATTGACCTGGAGTACGAACTGCAGCAGCTAACTAAACAGGAGTCCAAACGCCCGGCAAGAACCATGTATGCAGATGAAGTAGAACAACGTATCAAACAACTCAGGTGAGTTTAACATTTTACATAAATGGGTAAATGTTTCCACTGAAAAAAATCTTAACTTATGAGGTCTGATCATGATCAATTTTCTTTTAGCCTTCAACTTGTTCACACAAAGTTCAGTTCAGTTTGTCCTAACATAAGTGAGGCAACACCAGTTCCAGTTAACCATGACCAAAAAAAAATCATTTTGCAATGTAGTCTCTTGTTTACACAAAAAAGAGACTGTAAAGACAGTCAAAGCTACATCTTTGCTGCCTCGAGGCTATCTGTTTCTCTTTGTCTTATTTTCTTTGGAGTTAGAGGTTAGAAAGGAGGGTACAATGACAAGTTTTTCTTGCGATGAGTATGTATCCATTGTCTATATTTGGTGTAAATGTAGTGTGTCATTTGTAAGACTTTCAAATTCTCCCTGCAGGCATTCAGTGAAAGGAGGCAGCCAGCTGGCCGTGCGCGTGCCGTCCTCAGGAGGAGTGAAGTCCCGTCTGGGGATCAAACCCGACGGCGAGAACAAACCTCGGCTCACTTACACCATTTCCAACGTCCGCGACCGCCTGGGGGGCAAACAACAACAACAACCCTCGCAGGGAGGTGCAAGCGTGCTGCAGAGACTCGGCAAGGCTGCATCCAGGGGAGAGAGTATCTTACACAGACTTGGGCAGAAAAGACCTGCTTCCGACAGCGAATCAGAAGAGGAAGAAGAAGACGATGATGATGATGAAGAAGAAGACGAGTATGACAGAGATGAAGGCCGTGATTCCCCCGAGTTAGCCCGCGATCTGAGAAAGAGGCTGGGAGGAAAGAGAACTGGTGGAAAGTTTGACTTCAAAAACCTCCCCAGCCTCTCCATAGAGGTGACCAGAGATGACAGTGATTGACAGACAGTCCTGTGTTTTTACCAGCTTGGTAATAAGTGGCGAGGAAGATGGGGTACCATTCCTACAGGAAAGACATTTTGAGGACCATACCATACATTGTTGTAACCCACGGATATTTTTCAGTTAGTGACAGCATGGCAATGATGTAGCAACATGTAGCAAGAATGATCATTGCAGCAGATATTGTTTTCCATTAGTCTAAGACTCTATGGTTGTTACACCCTTTATCAAGATCACTGGAAAAGGATTTATGCTTTGCTTTTCCATCACTGAGATTTTTATGTTTCATTCAGAGCGTATCTGTATCTATGTATGTTGATGGTTTTTGTATCCCATCTTATTGTACATGTATATGAGCACATGTATTTGGAACCTGAAGTCAACCATTAGCTATACTTTTGGCTATACTTTTTTTTTTTACTTTATTGATATAATTGGCAAATTCAGTGTATCATTGAAGAGAATATCTGATGTCATTGCATTAATTTGCACAATTTGCACAAAGTTAGATTATAGCAACATTGCTATCATAGATGTAATGTTTAGTGTCAGCATAGAATGTAGAATTTGATAGTCCTTTAAGTTAACAGTTTAGAGTTAGTAAAATTTTTGGTTATTTTGTGACAATGGATTTTGTAAATGGAAGATTACTAGAAGAAATTGTGATGATTATTCTTGTTCATCTAGTTTTTTTCATGGTATAGTACAAGAAAATAGTCTGATACAATTAAGCATTTAAGTTGCCTTTTGGACACACCTTCGTTACCTTCACGAGGATGCTACTAATGATGCCGCAAGATGATACTAGTAATAAGACGACAAGATAATGGTCATTCCAACCTAAATGTGTTTTGCAGTCTGATTCATGAAAGATGTTTTTGGTGAGCCAATGGTAAGTTAATGATAGGAAAAGGATGCTTCATTGTAGGGTGATAGGATGAAAAACAAGAATCCCAAAGAGCCCTTGATTAGTCTCTGCCAGAGTAACAACATGGTATCAAAAATAGTCAAATTTAGCCAAATTTTCCCCAAAATGGGGAAGAGTTGAGTAAGGGTAAGAATTGAGGAAGGCATCAAAGCTTTTGCGACCTTTATTATTTTTAACCTTGAATGGGGTGGGTGGGATAACAACGTGATTGGGTGATCAGTGTGTGGAACCATGGAGGTAGAAGACCATGGTGGAACAAAATAGCAATTGGATTAGCCCAACCATGAAAGGTTTCTAAAAGGTGTTTTTGCGGGCCAGCGAGTACAAGGAGCTCATAGCAAATCGGACGGTACCCATGCCATGCAAGACTTGCCTTCAGACCAGAATATTTCTTTACATAACACGTTAACTGTTCTATGGGTTACATAGGAGCCATAGCCATTCAGAATTACCGACCGTAATGTTGTTGTGCAAAGAAAGTGTCATGTTACGGCCACGCCCATTTATGGTTGAGGAGCCACAAAAAACCTGCTAGGTCCAAGTCGCGATCCAAACGACATCAGCAATACAGTTGTAAAGGGAAAGATTACACGTAAAGATGGACTGGAAGTAGAAATATCACTTTGAGTTCTTTACGTGAACATGCGCTCTACATTTGACCCTTGCGAACTGCCCTGACACTGCATGGGGTTTATGGTACAGGTGAGTAACTGCATATTATGTTACAATAAAAAACATGGCGTCCTGTACTTAACATCATGATTAAGGTAAGCTAGACAAATTTCTAGATAGTCATTTTCAAAACATTGACACCTAATGTCAGTTGACGGTGGAATCCGTGTTGCTTTTATGATAAGTTTGTTCAGACTTTGGGGTTTTCTGCTGGGGTTCTTTATAGACAAATCTAAGAGAATTTGTTGACGTGTGGATGTTTTCTTGTGCGACATAGGTGTGAGAAATGCGTTATGTGGAAAGAAAACACCGGGAAACTACTATGCATCAGCGAGGTGCGGAATGGTGTTGGGGACCATGCTAAGCCCGTCTGGTACAGCTAGCATTTCAGACTGTCCAGGTGAACAGGTGCATGTGACCGTGCAGCCTCGGTCAGTCAAGCGGAAATAGGTAAGATCCCAAGGCTAGCTTCTACTGGGCTCCACAGGTCGCTGGAAAATTAGTATAAATTGGCCAGGTAGACTGAAAATTGTGCCAAACAAGTTAGTCATCTAGAGGGTATAGATTGCAACCATTTCTACCATTTAATTTTTAAGCTACCGTGGGAAGCCTGGTAGAGGCTACTCAAAGCATAGATTCTCTAGTTCTGTTGGTGTAGCCTCTACCAGGCTTGTGGAGGCGGCTGGAAAGAGTAGAACTCGGCCAAAATAGAGAGATAAGCATGCCAAGGGAGTTTGGCCGTTG